ATTGTACCGAAATATTCCAACACCTTGCCCTTAAGGACCCCATAGACAATATTCTATTGTCCTCGGAGCTTCTGCGTCTACCCCACTGGCGCACACACTAGCTAGCAGACAAGTGCACGCCCACTTGAAATGTCAAACCATTTCGCCAATTCTAACACTAAGACGAGCCTATCTAGAGCCTTATCTACTCTAAGATGAACATAGACCCGATTCTGTATCTTATAAATATCGCACAGTTTAATTATAATCACTTAACTGGGTAGTTTTGATCCACTATTAGAGAATGTTTCATACGTGACGTTTGCTATGTCAATGACCAATTTCATTTGCTTGAATGATCCTATAATTATACAATAAATAAGTCTACACAGAGCTCGAGGATGACACTAGTATTACACCACATTACCCACAGACGCTGTTCCATTGTTACTCTTGTCTTGGCGTCTACCCCGACCCGTCCGACGAAGCCACTCGAAGTTCAACCCAAGAGTAAGACGGCTACGGAAAGTGTGATCACCGCCGTGCCGTAAGTTTAAGGAGACGGAGAAAGGTTTCCTTGTGGAAAGACGCAGAGGTTAGGAAGCGGTTGTGACGTCCTTCATCCAGTTTTTCGGCTGTACGTAGAAAGGTGCAACATGCGCTTCAGGTGAGATCAACTTTTTTCATCTTCCAACATTTCATGACTAGACATGGTGACGGCACACTCAAGTTATGTCAACTTATTTTATGCCGCCACCAACGCAGAGGACGAATACAGGACTAGGACAATATTTTGAGCACTTTCCTAAGGGCTCGGTGGCATGTCAGGACTCGAACCCGGGACTTCTAGGCTCCGAGCCGAGCACTCTACATCTCCTTCGGCCATGGAAGCCATACGCCCCGTCAGGCCGTAGTCGACGCCCTGGCTCTAATCATCTCCTCGAAAGATAAAGGGTTTGGGCGGATACTTTTGGTAGCGGACATTAGGTAGCCTCTACCAGGCTTCGAAAGGCGGCTAGAAAGAGTAGAAATCGGCCAAATAGAAAGATAACAGGCCTGGGGAGTCAGGTCCGGTGGACAGAACTGTTTGCCGTACCCGGGTACCTCCCGAAGCCTGGTAGAGGCTAGACGTTAACAAGGGTTTCTCCCCTCAAAAAATCTAATATCGCTTATGAAACGCCAGCGTCTGGCACCCAGGCAAGATAAACTAGGCTTCTAGCGAGAAGCAGTTGTTTCCCACCATCTCTCTTGTGCACCTATCCTACCCTAGCCTCCTGTGCAGGCTCCGGGCGGGTGGGAGTTTTGATTCTGCGTTTTGTAGAGTTTTTAACGCGTTCTTGTAATTGCCGGACATACTACAACCAGCCACATAGGCGGATGGAAACCTTCACTCGGCGGCTGGTTGTATAGGATGGCCGGCAATTGAAAGAACGTGTAAAAACTCTACAAAACGCAGAATCAAAACGCATCCGCCCGGAGCCTGCACAGGAGGCTAGTCCGGCCCGGTCAAGCCATATGCTGTCACAAATTCACGAATTTGGCCTCCCGAACGCTAGCGGAACGCCCGCCAACCATGGTTAGGAGTGGTTCGGCTGGGGTTCGGCTGGGTCGGCTACAGTTCGGCGAATTCGGCTGCTCCAACCGAATGTTTAAAACATTCGTGAGGCGTTCGGAAGGTTAGATCATAGTTAACAGCCTCATTTTGTCTGTTGACTGCTGTTGATGTGCCCCGAGGCATGTTTTTTTTTTTCGTATCTTATTATGTTTACCGAATGTTTTTGCTCCGTTTCTTCTTCTTCTGTTCCAAACACTAACCTCGAGTTGACCGAGTTGACCGAGTTGACCGAGTTGATCGAGTTGACCAGGGTAGTGGACCGAGTTGACCGAGTTGACCAGGGTAGTGGACCGAGTTGACCGAGTTGACCAGGGTAGTGGACCGAGTCGACCGAGTTGACCAGGGTAGTGGACCGAGTTGACCGAGTTGACCGAGTTGACCAGGGTAGTGGACCGAGTTGACCAGAGTTGACCGAGTTGACCGAGTTGACCGAGTTGATCGAGTTGACCAGGGTAGTGGACCGAGTTGACCGAGTTGACCAGGGTAGTGGACCGAGATGACCGAGTTGATCGAGTTGACCAGGGTAGTGGACCGAGTGGACCGAGTTGACCAGGGTAGTGGATCGAGTTGACCAGGGTAGTGGACCGAGTTGACCGAGTTGACCAGGGTAGTGGACCGAGTTGACCAGGGTAGTGGACCGAGTTGATCGAGTTGACCAGGGTAGTGGATCAAGTTGACCAGGACGGTGGGCCGAGTTGACCAGATATTTGCGATGGTCTGACTTGGTAACAGTCCGAGTCCGAAATGAGTACCTACTAATGTGATATTGAATAGTTTTTACATATATAGTCAAAAGCATATATTAGTGTACTGCAGGGTTTCTTTGAATATGAATGTGTTTGAGTAAGAATTAACAGAGCAGACGATATCCGAAGATAAACATTATGTATTTGCGTTGCATATGTTACTTTTCTAGTTACCTGAATGTCTAATCTTTTTTTATTTTTTTATTCCAACATGTAATCACCAGACGTGGTGACGACACACTCAAGTTTTTTCAACTTATATTAATGCCGCCACCAACACAGGGGACAAATACATGACAGGACAATACTTTCCCAAGGGCACAAGATCGGTGGCATGTCAGGACTCGAACCCGGGACTCTAAGTTCCGAGTCGCGCACTCTGCCGCTACGCCAGCCTACCCCACAATGTCTAATCTTTACCGACGTAAAACGCATACACTGTATTAATTCATTAATTTTCCCCAAGTCTGTTGGCTGCTCTACTGGCCATGGCTGCGGTGGTCGCTGGACGCGGTCCAACCGAAGAGCAGATTCGGCAAGCCGTTACCAAGGCAACCAAGGAACTGGGCAACGCCCACTGTGTCCGCAAGGACGGCGACGTCGTTTGCGAGAAAGGTGCGCCTCCTAGTGTTTTTCCTTAGTACTGCAGCGGTACGATCGGTTTATGTCATGCCCTGTTTCTTTCTTTCTCTCTTTCTTTCCCTCTGTCTCTCTTTTTTCTTTCTCTCTCTCTCTCTTCCTTTTTCTCTCTTTCTTTCTGTAATGGAAGATTAGTTCTTCAGTGAGCTAAAACTGGTTCGAGATCACTTTCGTTCTTTCTGTAGAGCCCAGGCAGCAGCAGAAGGTGGTTTCCGAGACAATCAACAGGAGCCAGCGTCAGTTCGCAGCCATGCACCTGTCCACGCCCAGGACAGTCAGGCTAAGCCAAACAGCGCTCATGCTGGAGAAGGTGGCCAAGAACCTCATAAACAGGTGACTTGTTTGAACTTTGAAGAAAGTTAAAGAAAAGAAATCTGGAGACCATGGTCACTTTCCATGAGTAGACGGGTCCATTCTGTGAACAAGGTTGAAGGGATCAGCCGAATATCACCCCCCCCCCAAAGTCCTAATTTATTCAAATGTTGGAAGGAAAGTTTAGTCTTTACTTCATACTTACCGTGACTTATTGTTCCTATACAGTGATGAACAATTCACCCTGGATCAGCTGGGCCAAGTTAAGTTCAGTGCCATAACCGGGCTGTGTAATGAGCCAGAAGATACCTGCAAGACACATGAGATAGACGGCCATGAGTTCCGGTCGGCAGACGGCTGTGGCAACAACAAAGATCACACCCAATGGGGAACCCCCAAGGAATGCCTGAAAAGACTGCTCGATCCACAGTACGAAGATGGTATGTGGTTGATACAAAACGAAATCAACTTTATTGCTCAACAGTTGTACAGGGTACAAAGTATGGCATCTAATAGTTCATATTTTAATAGATAGCTTTATTGCGCAACAATTGTACAGTGTACAAAGTATGGCATCTACTAACTTAAGTAAGTACATGTTAACTACATTTCATAAGGCTTATCTAATACAAAAGTGGGTGGCTAGTATGAGATAGGTATCAATACAATCGTTTAAGGAGTTTCTGATATCCATACAGTCTTTAATATATATCCCTATGTATAGCATGTAGGGGTTGTCACAAGTCAATATGTATTTAAATTTTCTTTCCAAATTCATTGTGGTGAATGCCTTAGACTAATACAAGACTATAGTATGGGACAGGTATGAACTTTTACAATCACTGAAGGAGTTTCTAATATCTATACAGTCTTTAATATATATCCCTATATGTATGGTATGTAGGGGTCGTTACAAGTCATTATGTAACTACACTAACGTTGTTTTTGGCGACGCCACAGGGGCAAGCCTAATAGTATATCATGTGCCCACTGCACTATGATTTTAATCTGTGGGTCTCCGGGAGTAGGTTTATGTGTATCATTAATCTCCAAGCAGATCCTAGGGTGGCAAAAAAACATACACGTACAGTATCAAATTGGCCAGACAGTGTCCATTTGCCAGAGAGGGTTGCAATATGCGTATGGACCGTCTCTGGCGAATGGATACTGCCTGGCCAATTTGATACTGTCCTTTTGCCACCGGTAGGGATCTGCTTGGAGATTAGTGTATCATTCAATGGCCAGGAAACAGTCCCCACTTTCCCAATGAACCAGTCGGCCAGGCAAACCAGCTTCATGTCCTAATACCTTCTTGTCTGTTTAAAGGTAAAACTTTTGTTCCAACACAAGAAATTCTCTCACCTAGATCTTTCGACCAGTCACTCTGGTCTTCCTCAGTAGACTGACCCAATGAACTTGTCACGTGGCTTCTTTGAAGTGTGACGTCAACACCGGGTCAAAGGTATCTGGTAGACGATGTCGACCCCCGTCTCTTGTTGTCTCTTCTGTCTCTGTAGGTCTTAGTGCGCCTCGTACTACAGGTCGGGACGGCAGCCCACTTCCCAACGCCCGCTTGGTCAGCCTGATCGTGCACGAGGACCTGCGGAAACCGAGTCGTGAAGCCAGCCACATGCTGATGCAGTTTGGACAGTTCATGTCTCACGAAGTCACGCAGACGCCAGACGCTAAAGGTTAGCAATGACGACTGCCACTGTGCTTCATTTCACTGGAACGATTTAGCCAAAATGATCAACCAGGGTCATGCAAAATTTCTGGAGTAAGTATAGAAAAACTGATACATATACCGAGAATCACAGATACCGAGCAGATAATATTTCAGCTTCTGTATCTGTATAGCCGGTATAACCGCCCTTCGGCGTAACACACCAGCTTCTGTATCTGTATAGCCGGTATAACCGCCCTTCGGCGTAACACACCAGCTTCTGTCTCTGTATAGCCGGTATAACCGCCCTTCGGCGTAACACACCAGCTTCTGTATCTGTATAGCCGGTATAACCGCCCTTCGGTGTAACACACCAGCTTCGCAGGCACGCCGATTGACTTGTTACACCTAACCTACTTGTTACATTAACGGTAACAGTTTATGCGCGATCTTACTCAGTATGCTGATTGACAATTTTTCTTGTCCTCTATTTCATGTCTACAGACGTCAAGTGTTCCTGTGATTCAGATGATTCAGAATGTTTCAACATTCCCGTGCCCAAAGTGGACCCCGACTTTGGCAAAAGGTCCTGTTTAAATTTCACCCGTTCTGCCGCCTGTGTGAGGGAAGGGTGCAGCCTGGGAACAGCACGGGAACAATTCCACCAGGTCTTTCCATTCTTCTTCTCTCCATTAGGCCATGTTGATTTGATTATATGGATGACATCATGTGGAAACCCCAAAACTGATGCGCGCGGGCGAATAAAAAATATTCCGGCCAAAAATAAAAATGCCACTAAACCAGAGGAATAAAACCTGCTATTGTGAATGTGCTGATTTTAGGGTACCATCCATGAAATAAAGGACTCGTCTTGGGACTTGTTTCTGCAGTTTTATATACCCAAAGTATGAAATACTGATTAAAATGTGCTAATGTCAAGCAGTATGTGTCAATACCATAAAATTACCTTACTTATTAATTATTCAGAATATTTCCGGCTTTAAGTTCAGTGAGGGGCAGTTTTTTTTTCTAGAAATAAATTTAGCACGAGAGAGCGACCGAGCGACCGTGAGGGGATTTTTTTAATGAGACCAACACAGTTTGTGATGCTAAAATGCATTTTTCTACTGTTTTTTAAGGTCACGGCTTTCGTGGACGCCTCGAATGTCTATGGCCAATCGGAGGATGAGATGGAAAAACTCAGAGCCAAGAGCGAAGAGGAAGGTGAGTAGGACAATACACGGGGGGAGGGGTCTCATTAATTTACCAAAAAGATTCATAAATTCTATATGGTGAATTAGTGGGATAACACTCCTGTTATCACATTAACTTACCAGAGAGTCTCCATAATTCATAGCGGAAAATTGTAGTTCCCAGACCAGTTGACACATGTACATGTTAGCAGCGGGCCTCGCACCAGAGGATGGCCAAAGAATCCAAACGAATTTTACGGAATTCATACAAATTTTTCGGACTTCATACAAATTTTTCTGAATTTATATGAATTTTACGGAATCCATACTATCCATTACAAGGAGACACACAATCCGTACTAATTTGGTGATTCAGGCACAGATCACCAAATTAGTAAGGATCGTATTAGAGTAATGGATCGTATGGATTCCGTAAAATTTGTATGTTTTCTTGTAATGGATCGTACGTATTTTGTGAATTCTTTGGCACCCCAGACCTCTCAAGTCGTTCGATGCGACGTTAAATATTTCCTCCTTCTCTTGCCAGGGTCCCGGGGCCTACTGAAGTCCTTCCACGACTCTCAAAACAAGGAGCTCCTGCCAAAGTGTCCGGAGGAGGAAAACTGCTTCCAGGCAGGAGACAACCGGGTGCGTAACGGTTATGGTTTCTGTAATTATGGTAGCTACATGTAGCTATCCAGGATTCGATTATACTGCTGCTGTTGTTCCTGTAGTAGTACTAGTAGTACTGGTCTTCACACTGCACCTCCAGGCAGCCCTATTTATCTATCTAGTGGGTTAACACCAAGGAGAAGAAGTCTACAAGTAGTCTACAAGATACCAAAGGCACGGTGCCAAAGGTATCTTGTAGACTACTTGAGAGGGGTGAAGGGAGCCATATACATCAGGGCCCATCACCCTTCCACCCTTCATTGAACCGCGACGGGGGCCTACATCGTCTACCAGATACCTTTGACCCAGTGTTGACGTCACACTTCAAGGAAGCCACGTGACAAGCCTCACTGGGTCAGTCTACTGAGGAAGACCAGAGTGACTTGTCGAAAGCTCTAGATGAGAGAATTTCTTTGTGTTGGACCAAAAGTTTTAACTTTAAACATACCGCTAGACCTCAAATCTTACATTGGTCGCCTACAGGTGGACCAGAACCCGGGACTGACCTCCCTGCACACCGTCTTCCTGCGGGAACACAACCGGGTCGCTCGGAAGCTCTCCGAAGTCAACCCGGACTGGGACGACGATCGGGTGTTCTTCGAGGCCAGGAAGATCATCGGCGCCGAGTTGCAGAAGATCGTGTACAGCGAATACCTTCCTCTCGTCCTGGGACCTGACGCCATGACCGAGTATGGCCTAACCCTCACCGCGGAAGGCGAGTTCTTCTCCGGGTACGATTCCACCCTGAATCCCACGATCTCTAACGTCTTCGCCACGACAGCCTACCGATTCGGCCACAGCCTGACTCAGAACGAATACGACCGCTACCAACCGGGCTTCCAACAGACGAATTGCCCGATCAAGCTGGCCTATAGTTACTTTGACACGTCGTACGTTTCCGACGACGCCAAAGGCGGTCCTGACTCCATCCTACGGGGACTGACCGCCCAGCCCGCCCAGGACTTCGACCGCTTCATGGTCTCCGGACTGACAAAGTTCCTACTGGCGGACCCTCCCGGATCAGATCAGGGTTTCGACCTGGCGGCCATCGACATTCAGCGCGGGAGGGACCATGGACAGCCGGGCTACAACGACTGGCGGGAGAAGTGTGGACTTCGCAGGGCGCCGGGGTTTGACTACCTTGGATGGGAGATCCCTGATCTAACCACCCGGCAAAAACTGGAGAGCCTATACAGGTGATAATGAGCATTTAATCAAAGTTATCATGAAAGTTCATATGTGTGAAGCATGCGTTTAAAGCGACAAAAATGTGCAATAAAGGTCGTCATTCTTAGTCTTTAACCTAAACTTGCAGCCACGTGGACGACATTGACCTGTTCGTGGGGGGTCTTGCCGAGGAGTCCGTGCGGGGCGGTGTCGTCGGTCCAACCTTCGCCTGTCTGATCGGCCTGCAGTTCCAGGACCTCCGCAAGGGGGACCGCTTCTGGTTCGAGAATTCCGGGCAGTTTACGGAAGGTTGGTCAAAGCATTACTAAGTATAAGGTCCTTGTTTTAAAAACCTTCTTGGCCTAAGCTGCGCCTACGTGTGGTGGGTTCTTTAAAGTGCGGGGCCTCCATTTAATGTCCTATCCGATGGACGTCCCTAACCGAAGCTTGGTACCCATTTTCACCTGAGTGAAGTGAGAAAAGTCGTGTAAAGTGCCTTTCCCAAGGGCACACGATTGGGCAGGATGGATTCGAACCCGGGACCTCTTGGTACTGACCCAAACATGCTACAGTTGACACCACACGACCTCACACTAATGGTGACTAATTGGGTGGCGTGTTATAGCCTCTACCAGGCTTCGGGAGGCGGCTGGAAAGAGTAGAAATCGACCAAATAGAGAGATAACATGCCAGGGGAGTTGGTCTGCTGGAGAGAAAAGTTTGCCGCTCCGAAAAACTCTTCTCTCCAGCCGACCAAATCCCCGGCAATTTTGTTATCTCTCTATTAGGCCGGCGATTTCTACTCTTTCCAGCCGCCTCCCGAAGCCTGGTAGAGGCTAGGTGTGTTGGACCCTCTCTGGCCAATGGACACTGCCTGGCCAATTTGCATGATGCTGTCTTTTGCCACCCTAGGATCTGCTTGGAGCTAATTCTTCGTTACCCTTTTCTCTAGACCAACTTGCGGAGATCAAGAAGACCAGCCTGGCCCGGATCCTGTGCGACAACACGGACACCGAACAGATGCAGCCAAATGTCTTCAAGCAGCCTGGGAATGAGAGGGTGGCGTGCACCGATCTTCCCAATCTGACCACCGTGGATCTGACCAAGTGGAAGGAGTCATAAGCAAGTTGTGACGAAAACAAGCCTCACAACATCTGCTTGATCATTAGCAGGCACATTGTCCAACTCTAAAATATTGTAGAGCCAATAGCTAAGAGCATTGCTCTCCAAGCAGAGGTTTGGGTAATACAGTGCAAAAAGGAGAGCCTGATTAAAAAAAGGCAAAAAAAACATGCCAAAACCCAAACCTCTGCTTCCCCTTGTCATCTTGAAACAGCAAATTGCATGTGGCATTTTCTGTATCAGCATAGCCGGTACAACCGCCCTTCGGCAAACACACCAGCTTCATAGGCACATGGCGCGGTGGCAGCTACCTCTGTATCTGAAGATTTTACGAATTTGTGAATTTTAACATCCAGTATATATATAATGCAGGGCTAGGGACAAGCATTTATGACACGAAAGGCATTCAAAGGACGAGAAAGATCAGAAGCAACCAAGACAGCCATGAAAAAAAGGCTAATCTTTTTCACACCAACAAGGTACAATGTACTGGTACTGACATTTTAAAAGCATCTTAAAAGTTCTGATATTGTTAACTTTAAAGTGGTGAAGTGTTCATAGTGATAACCAATATATACATAGAATTATCTACATGTATACCTAGCATCACAGCAAAATGCATGACCATAAATATAGATCTAAACATATACATCACAATAGAATTTATACATGACTTCTATAAAAATACTATTTTGTACATTATTGAGAGTTAGAGTATTATGTAACTGCATAATAGAAAAAAAATCCCAACAAATTAACAGCATTTTTATCAGTTACAGGTAAGTGCAGAGAAGTCAGACTGCAGAATACAACATACTATGCTGAGTAAAGAGACTCTTTTTATACAGTCAACCAAGTGTTTTATTCAGCCAACGTTTCAGTGACCGTCTGTCACCTTCCTCAGGGCAATTCTGACTGGTTCACATTGTACTGCAGCACAGGTGTCACTGCTGTTCCTAAACCTTCCCTGAGGAAGGTGACAGACGATCACCGAAACGTCGGCTGAATAAAAGACTTGGTTGTGTAAAAAGAGTCTCTCTACTCAGTGACTTACCAACCTGATGAAACTATTTTCCTGTTCATCTTTACATTGCTTAAATGCCAAGCTTTGGTACTACTAGTATTTCAATGCAATAGGGCTTTGCAGAATGCTTTTACTTGTCTGAGCATTAACATTTAAGTAGCAAATAAAATATGACAGAAAATACATAACTAATTGGATGATGTTAATTATAGTAGCAGGCAGATTGACTAGAATTTCATGTACAATGTACATTCTACTATTGCACATTCACAGTACAACACATTTTAGTTTAATTACTACAATGTAGTATGAGAAGTACTGCAACCATAACCAGTAGACTAAGTATAACCTGTTTTGGATGTCAAAGGCACCCTTTTAAAGGCACTCTGTATGGTTTGTTACAAAACAAAAATCTCAAGTGTCTTATGTACACTTCAACCTTGATATAACCATGTGAACACATCATCAGGCACATAGCACTGTGTGACAGGACTGTGGCTTACTTTCTAAAACAAGAAAACCTTACTTGTACTGCATAGCTCAACATTTAAACTGCATAGTTCAGTGACAACATCCACATTAGAATTACATACACAACCACTTACAAAAAACAGTTTAAAAAGAAGTTTCCAGTGTCCACAACCCTTTAAAGATAGAATTCAGTAGTGAAAATTGTCATTACCATATTTCATTAAGTTCATAAATTCTAGCCATAACACTCAGTAAACAAGAAATTTGAAATTTAAGACATCTGGAAGTATTCGGGGTTTTCAGGACCTTCAAGCCCCCCCCCCCATTTCCTGTGTCTGACCTGCAATTCTGCCTGTCAGTCTTCCCTACCCAAGTGCTGTCAACCTACTCTCGAGCTCACCCCCTTTTCCTGTGTTTGACCTTTTGACCTGTCATGGAAACCCAGAATACTAGGACCTCCCAATAGTCTGAAACCTCAGATTTTTATGTTTACTTTGTTCGCAGAAGGAAAACATATTGTTTTTGCTCTGTTCCTTCTTCCTCTTCTTCTTCTCCAAACAAAGAAGGTCAATGACCTGAACGAGATGTCTGTCACCATGGTAACTGGTGTTGGGTTACATCATGTTGCAATTTTATAGCAGGAGGGATGTAGACTCCTATCACTACATGAAATATGAATGTGTTTGAGTAAGAATTAAGTTAATAATAGAGCAGACCATATGCAAACTAAGGTAAACATTATGCATTTGCTTTGTAAATGTTACCTTAAACTTTCTAGTTTGTGTTTTTTTTTACTGCACAGTACACGCAGAACTCTTGTTCACATCTCCAGCCTGGTTACTAGGCGTGGCACCCTTAGCAGCCTGGTTGCTAGGCGTGGCACTTTGAGCAGCTTGGTTGCTAGGTGGGCCACTTGCCCTTCCAGGCCCATTTGAAGCAGCTGGTCCATTGGTACTGGGGGTGGGAGCGGGTGTGGAGGAAGGTTGAATGGCAGGAAGTTTCTTCTTCTCGTACTTTTTAATCTCCTTGACGACGCCCGAGGTGCCCTTGAACTTCCGGGAGAAGTTTCCGACCAAGATGGCGTCCACATCTTCCACCTGATTGGTTGAAAGAGGAGGCAGAGTGAGGTTAATAAATATAGCTTACTTCATCTGGCTGCCATATCACATGACCATATTCTACATTCTCTATTTTGAAAACAGAAGATAGTGAGTACAAAATGTAGGGCATGACCAGAATAGTGGGCAAGGTACTAGTACTCTATAAACCAGATCCAAAACAAAGAAAAACAAACATCCAGAAAACATTATCTTGTGTTGGCAATTGCAGTTCAAACTCATTTCATAATGTCTTCTACTGAACACAGATGAACTTCCAAGATCCAGAAAACAAATAAAGAGTATTTACTACTGTTAGTGATATTCCTACTTTCTGAAAATCTGTATCTAGTGTCCTCCATCATATCACTTCAAGCTCTTATTGGTACTGGAAAAATCCTAAAATATATATATATGCTTATTAAGCATTAGCCAAAGGAGATACAATTTGGCAACTAAACGGTACTTGCAGGTACAGAAGTCAGTAAGTTAAACATCTTTACTAACTAGATTGCTAACTAACTACTGCTAACAAACCTGAAGAGTACTAGATCCGGCAGCTTTTGCTTCATCCACAAGTTTCTGTATCATCATCTGTAGAGGGAGGGGGGTAGATGTTAGACACTGAATTTTGTAAAAACACATAGAGGAATAAGGTAACCATTTGGAAAGTATTAAAAAGTAAGAGAGAAAACAGTGGCTATAAAAATTGAACTCCCAACTCAATTAAGTTCATGGAAAAGACAAACAAAAGGTCTCACCAGTTTCTTGTCCATTTTTTCATTCATCTTCTTCATGAGGCTGACTTCCTGGGTCAGTTTCTGCTTCTCCTCATCTTCCTGTGTTACATGCATCAAATGAATTGATAAACATCATAATTACGATACACAAAAATACACCAGATTATCGCAGCCTTGTGGTTGTACATGTGGAGCAGCTGCAGAAGGGTGTCTGATGGAACATTGATACATGTAAACTAGAATCTGGTGTCATTTAAAGGTTAGCAACTGTTGTGGTTGAGAGACCCTGAAGCCCACTGGGCTTTAAGACATTGTGTCTATCTGTTCCATATACATACATGTCTAGGTATACAAGAACAAGCAAAACTTTGAGATTTTGTTACGAAGGGTGTCATCATATTAGACCTGGAGAATCTCGTGCTTGTCAAAGAAAAAGAAACATAGATATCATCATTTTTTCTAAAATTCAAAAGTGAACAGGAAGAAGTGAATTGGAGTTTTAAGGTTTTCAAAGATTCCCCCACCTGTGTAGTTACACGTTTCTGCGCCATGCGGTTTTGCTCGTTGAGGTTCAGCCCTCCCTTCTCCATGGCAACCATCTGTTTAGTGGACATGTTCGCTCGCTGCTTGTCAGTCGCTGAAGTCTGTTTGCCCCAGACCTCCAGGATCAGGGGCTGGGTGTTCAGGTACTCAACAAACTGGGAAGGGGGGGGGGCAACACATCATGGTTAGCCAGAAATCTTGACGTTAGTTATAATTAGTTAGGGAAGTTAGTGCTGTGTACCGGTTCATTGGAATTAGTTCTAGACTTCCAAAAAAAATCATTCCCTATTTTGTTCTAAACCACCTGAAATCTTCAATAGTCAAAACTTTTGCTGCAAAATTAAGAAAACATTGCCATTGGGCATCGTCAAGTGCCGGCCTCCAAAAATTATGTGGCCACAGTTTTTTCCAGACGTGCCCAACAAACAACATATCTCGCTTCTAAACCCTGGTAGTGCAGTGCTCGCTACAAAATTTTGTGGTGAAAATGCCCCATTTTCCATTAGGAAATGTTAACTGAGAAGTCCTTCCGTATTTTGTATATGCCCTGGGTCTAGGTGCTACCAGGTTTATATACAAGGGATGTAAAAGGTAGTGGAAGGACAGGGATGGGCTCTGCCTTCCGATACAGTTAAACAAGCTATGTGTACCTTTACCTTTGTTTCAATCTGTTGCCAGAGTATAGATCTGCTGCTTCTCAAAATCAAAATCAGAGACTGAGTCCTGTACCTACCTGTTTAGTGACAGGGCTGTAGGAGAACTGTTTGTTGTGTTGGAAGTTGGGGTTGACTCCTGCGATCCAGTTTGTACTGCTGCTCTTCTCATCCAGGTAAAACTTGTACTTCACACAGCTCTGAAACACACACAGACATATGTCAATCAAAACTTGTACTTCACACAGCTCTAAAACACAGACAGACAGACATGTCTCAATCAAAACTTGTACTTCACACAGCTCTGAAACAGACAGACAGACATGTCAATCAACATCAATCACTAATGGTGATGCCATCATTAGGCTTTAAGAAAATATTTCTGACTGAACAATGCTTTCAGTACCCAGGACAGGACAGGACAACAGGACAATTTTTTTACTAAGGATTGGAGAATTCAGACACAATTTGGGGTAAGTTTCTTTGGCCATTATCTATAACAAACAAATTTAAACTGAAAACATCCAATAGATTTCTGAATGAACAATTTCAGTACCAAGGACAGGGTAGCAGTTCAAGGAATGCTTTTTTTTCTGCTGGAATTGATTCAGAAGAATTCAGACACAATTTGGGAGAGGTTTCTTTTGGCCATTATCTATAACATGGGGAAAACAAAAAGTATTATTGTCAACATCCAATAGATTTCTGACTGAGCAACGATTTCAGTACCAAGGACAGGGAAAGAAGTTAATGGAACATTTTTCTATCTGTTAGAATTGAAGAATTCAATCACCCTTTGGCAGTGCATGTAGTTTTTTTTTGGTTGTTATCAACTATGCCAGGGAAATTACTATATTGTGCTCATTGTTACTTGTGCCAAGAACATTAATACATTGAAGTATGACAGGAAATGTTGTTACAGTACTCACCTGTACATATTTATTTGGCAGCCCTCTGGCGTGGGGTACTTTGAGTTTGAAGTGCATTGGGGTCCCAATCTATAAGATAAAACAAAAAACATCATATTTTTGCCTCACAGATATCAGGATTCTATGGAATAGGCTATGGCTGATTCAACTTACTACTATAACACTGTTACAATAATAGAATGACCTGAAAATTGACTTTAAAACCCATTTTTGCAACCCTGAAATTTCACTAGGATGCCTTTAAAACAATCCTTGACAGGTCATTTTTGTAGTAAAATGTTGAACTTTATTCCAACACAAAGATTACACTGAGATCAAATTTTCACTGACCACTATATCAGGATAATTAATGACCAATCACTTCAAAACGTAAACTCGCAAGAGTTACGGTTACAGACATGTGACATTATTCACATGAGACTTTATGGATACATGACATCATTTTTGTAATATTGAGTACCAGTTCCTGTGGGTCTTCCACAAAGTCGTCCTCTAGCGGAGACCCGACTTGAGTGCATGGTTCGATCTCCACACAAAAATCAGCCTAATTGACCTAAAAAATGTGGCCTAAGGACTATTCAACTGGAGATGGGCACTGCCCTATGCACCACCTAGTGAGGGAAGGACTTAAACTAACTAACCAGTTCCTGTGGGTCCTCCACGAAGTCGTCCTCGAGCGGAGACCCGTCCGGCGCGCACGGTTCGATCTCCACCGTCAGGTGACCGTTCTCTGCCCCGCGGTAGTCTGTGATCGCCAAGTTCTCCTCGAGTTCAACCTGAACAAAACATCAACACACATGCGACAAGAGTCAGAGATTTTTGAGAAGTAGATATAGTTTACTGTGTCAAACTACGTGCCGGTAAATCTGGTGTGTTGTGCTGAAGGACGGTTACACTGCTATACAGATACGGATAACGAATTCAATTCATTATTCTGCTATTAAACCATGATTGTTTATTTTATACTTTCCTTGCAACCGCATCCTTGAACCCATGGCCTTACCATGTGAAACCCCTGTCAATGAAATAAAATCCGATCTCCGCCATTGAAACCCATACATACGTGTATAAACCTAGCATAAGTATACCACCATTTTAATAAAACAATACTTCTTTGCAAACAATCCAGAACCTCAGTTTAAGCTGATGAAGATATCAACACAAAAATCAGTCTTTTCGAACTAAAAAATGGCAATTATGCAAACAACCTGAAACGCAGTATTTGGGCATACATCCATGTAATATCATCTCTAGTATACTTAGTCTAAAAGTTTCAATGACTCAGAACAGCGCCACCTACCAGGTAAGCCAGGCTCTGCAGGTAGACATGAACACTCCCCACCAGGACCTCTGTGTCAGACGGCTCCCAGAACGGGTCCTTGTCCTGATGAAAGGTACAATACAATAACTGTAAGAATTCCAAATCACATAGCCAGCAAACTGCAATGTTATGAATTATTACACATTTATGCTACATGCAGAATTGTACCTAAAGTTTGTACTGATTTTTCACGGTTTTTGCTGGATGTTTGGTCAACGTTGCATCAGAATTTTGCCGTTTTCGACATAACCTTTGGAAACTACAGACGGAGTCTTATACGAGAATAGGACCTTATATTGGATGTTCTGCCAAAGTGCTATGCACATTTCATCACTACCCTGGATGCCAGACAAGTTTACGGGCCGCTAACAGTTTCCTTTGACAGCCAGAAGCCCTTCGCCCGCCGACCTAAATTACCACTGCGGTGGAGTTGAGCCTGTGGGGAGTATTCGGCTCTGCAACTTCACACAGTATGTTTTGCCGATATGCTACCCTCCCCCTTTCTCCTATACCTTCTCTAACTAACGTCCCAGTTTGTGTCTAACTCTACGGGTCCAAAACTGAGAAAGCTTTTTCCGAGGATCTTCTTTGATTTGATTTGATTGAGCCCAACCTAACCCCCCTTTAACTACTCCCCCTTTCTCCTACCTTCTCCACATCCCAGTTAGTGTCTCCCTCCACATAATTCTGGTACATCTCCTGCATCAGGTACTTCCTGTTGATGAACTTGTTCCGGTCCCACATGAAGTCATTCCCGTTTTCCAGGTTCTTCATCTTTACACTCACCTGAAAAATTAATGGAAGAAACAAATAATTACCTTTGCCAAGAAGGTTATGTTTTCATAGTGTTTGTGTGTGTGTATGTGTGTGTGTGTGTGTGTGTGTGTGTGTGTGTGTGTGTGTGTGTGTGTGTGTGTGTGTGTGTGTGTATGCGGTTTAGCACAATAAGTCATCAACAAGCTTTAAATGGATTGTCATGAAACTTGGTAGGTGGGTAGGTGTTGATGCGACCTAGTAATGATAAGATTTTGGGCCCCCTGTTAGCTTGTTATGGTACTGCAGCAGAACTTCCGGTTTTGATATCTGGACATGTTACGGTCATGAAGTTTGATCATGGTGAATATAGCTCTTTTGCTCAGGAAGAAATGGCATTAGTATGAAATCCCTAGCGACTTGTTTGCTTTACTATAAGACTGACTGACCTCAGTTCTTCCCTCTTTAAGTCCGCGAGCCTGTGGCGAGACCAGCGCGATCTCAAAGCGACATTTCTTGTCCAGCTCCTCAGACATGGCGTTGGCTTCGTTCACCATCGGCATCATAGCGATCAAGTCCTCCTGGAGCAGCATCTCATCTGGGTACAACAGAAACAACAGTCAAGAGTTAAGTTTGGAATTAAACACAATGCCATACACCTTCCAGCAGCAGCACCTTGTTTTCTTAAATTAAGAAATTGGTCTCTTTTTGCATTGTAACCATTTGACTATCATGATTGGTCTTAAATTTCAGCACTCTAGAGATCTAGATCCTGAGATTGCATTATCTTTGTTCTCAGTAAACCTGTGACATCTTTCTGAAACAGAATGATGAAAAAAGTTCTGTAAAAAACCAGTTTGTCTTGTTAAACTGTTATGAGTTAAGTCTGAAAATTGACCTTTTTTTCAGCAGAATTCTACCATGATTCTAACATTGATTCTGAAAATAAATTTTCCCAACACAGTACCAAGCAGAAACAGGTTGCATACAAAAGCTCTGAAACTAGATGTGACCCTGCTGTCTTACGTTTGTTGCGCGGAGCTCTCCTTAGCAGCTGCCAGGCATAGTTGGGCAGGACGTGGCTGTTCATCTTTAAACACTACTTCTGAATCAATGATCTTGGTTAGCAATGCTGTAGATCTAGAGAATCTCCCTTTCTCAAATTATTTGTAGACCCAAAACTGTGGCCAACCCAAGGCTTCCATGTACACTACTGGCAAGCCTGAAACCCTTGAAATTATGTAAAGCCGTGAAATTAACCAATTAAAGTCATGCCTGATGACTTCAAGTGGCTAAACTATAATGTATTTGCACCTGTTTCTTGGTAATACGTACAGAAGGCTGCTAAAATGCATGATCTTTATGCATTATACCAAGAATCCAACTAGTATATATAAGGGTATATTCTAAAAGACACTTGCTTGCAGTCTATAGTCTTTCTTTGTAAGCATTTCTCTATCACTTGTGGAAAGCTGGTCTGTATCACACTGTTAGCATTCCTTTCCTTTCACCAATGGTAGATAATCTAGGGCTGAGTCAGGTTGCGGACCCCAAAATAGTTCCCCTATCTGACTTGCAGAGTTGAGAAGCTGCACCTGCCAGAGAACTATATAAAGGGTAGCACCATTCCTGTTTCTATGCAGTTTGCTACCACGTATTAGCCCAGTGGGTCACAGAAAAAAATCATGGGCATGTCTAGAGAAAGTTTGTGTTGACTGGTTGAGATATCTTGGACACAAATGCTAAAACATTAATTCCAAACTTAACTTGCACTTACAGCCAAATCAAGGCATTTCAATGTCTAAAATCTTTTTAAAAATTACACTTTCTAATTTTTCAGCACACTTGTATTGTGCTGCAGTATACTTTCATTGATAATTAAAAAAAAAACAGGTTTTGGTTGACTGGTATTTTTTTGTCTTACTTTGAAATTTGTCTATTTTCTCAATAACAAGACTTTATTCATTCAGTGATTTTATTGTTGGTATCTTGTAAGTTACAGTTAGAAACAGCAAAGAAAACCAAAAGAAAACACTGTGGATCATAATCATCGGGCTTACTTTTAGATTTTCCCTCCTTGTCCATGTCGAAGCCAGTGTTCTGTGCAATCTCCTCCTGTGCTGACTCGTACGTGACTTTCTCCACCTTCTTCCCTGCCTTCTCCTGTTTAGCCAGGTCCTGGGGATGGTGGAACACGTACAGATGGTTCGATCCAAACATCACTCTGGGGAGAGAAAAAGGACAGAAAATTAAAAAAGACTGTTTCAAACAAAAATATCTGTTCATCTTAGGGACAATTTTATCTGCAGAAGAGAGAAACACACCAGGATGACAAAAATTAGTGAGATTTACAATGAAAGTTAAACTTAAATTTCAGTATCACTCTAGTCATCTACATTAAAGTTTTGTAACTACTTTTCGTCAGTAAAAAGTGATGGATGCTACTTGACAATGTCTAACAGTTTTAAAACTCATGAGAGTTGTTTGAGTAACTTCTTGCATTTCCCATTACCTGGACATGTAGCCCTCAATGACACCTCTCTTTATTTTCTCTTTATTCTCTTTATTTCAATGCCCTTTAGCCTAAAAAGCTAGTCTTCCAGGGCTCATACAGAAATAAAAACACATCTATACAACATAATTCTGTAGAACTTTTATTTACAGTTAACAGGTGGTTAGAGCTAGTTAACATCACTATGAAACAAAAAAAATCCATTTGTTTGTTTTTGCTCAGTTTCTTCTTCCTCTTCTTCTCCAAACACTGACCTCTGACCTGAGCCAATGCTGTTTCTGTTGCAATGGTAACTAGTGTTGGGTTACATCATGTTGCAATTTCAGAGTAGGAGGGATTTAGACTCCTGTCTGACAATATATGTGTTTGAGTAAGAATTATCAGAGCAGACCATATGCGAAGGTAAACATGATGTAAATTGCCTTGCAAATGTTACCTTTCTAGTTTCTTCTAGATCTGTTCTTTTTCACAAGGACCCCTTAGCTAGTTTTCACCCACCTGTCGTTATGATGCAGTTCCTCGTCCCCGTCCTCAGCTGTTAGCGGTTTCCCGTTCACCAGGACTTTAGCGTCAGCTGATGCCGGCTTCAGGTACACCACATTGTTGTCATTCCTCACTAACGCATGGTCTGCCTGGATACTGGAGAAAACAAATTCATGATTTAAACATGTCTCTTGTTATATGTATTTAATAGTTATGCTTAGAGGGTCTCGCACACTTTCCCATCACTATAATGAAACTTTTTTTTGTTTTGCAAAATCATGCCCGAAGGCTAATTGCTTTTACAATCAAGTATATTACTCATTGCAATACAGTAACAGAAGACAGATAACAACTGTCTGGAAAAAACTACTTCTACTACTACGCTAAGTATTATGGTTATTAGCTAGTTATTATAATAACTTCTGTTTCTCCTTCTCTATTGCCAAATTTTTTACCCAAAAACTTTCTATAAATATTCCTTCAAGCCAAGCTTATTAGGATCACATGTTTGTCCTTTTCCCTTTTAGAAGCATTTCTTTTAGAGTGTTTTAAGCCATATAATGTAAAAATAGGCATATTTTTGGAGTTCTTACCTAAGGCCGATCAGAACAACATCAGCTGGAGGGTCTGCCTTCTTGTTCCCAACTCTTGTGTTTCCTTTAAAATCAAAAACCACAGAGATGGATCAACAACGTAACACTGCTTACAGAGTGTGAAACTATAGGATAGAGGCAAATGGCAGGCTGCCATCAAGCCTCAGCATCAGTGTGCAAGCATGTCTAACAATCGTAAAATGGGGAACATCAGATGATAAACTGGACAGTGAGTGAGTGTGGGTGTTTCCAGAGATCTATCTAACAGAGATTTACTGCATATTGTCAAAGCCAACACGGAAGCAGTGGATTTCTTATTCCTTGACAAAGACTGGAGTAAGCTGTTGTAAAGTTGACAATTTGGGAAAGTCCAATTCAGAAATCACAGTTTACATTTCCTGCATACTAAAATGTTTTCAAGTCACTGACCTTCCCTGACGAAGTGCACTACCATCCCAGTCAGAGAGGGGTCCTCGTTCAGGTTCCAGAAGTGAGGGATGACTTTCATCTCCTCCTGCTTTCTCCTCTCTGCCTGAAGTTTCTCCTAAGGGATTGAAAATCAGAAACAAATGTCTGTCAGCACAGAATCCTATTTGTAATTCTCTGTTGTATGTGGGTCATTAGGATGAAGAGATTTAATACTGAAAATCTTTTTAATGGAAAAAAAAACTAAAAGATTCTGAAGAAGAAAAACATTGATGTAAAGATCATATTGCCAAGCCCTTAAATGTATAAAATTCAAAGGAAGCAATCCAGAGAGGGAAGACTTCACCCCCTTATGACACTGCTACGTGACTCTTCAAGTCTCACCGAAAAAAAGCTGAAGCAGATAAAAAGAATGTATGGTATTTGTAAATGCATTGCACACATGTGGGGGCACACACACGCGCGCGTGCACACACACACACACACACACACACATACACACACACACACACACACACAAACATAAAGATATCAGAAGCTCAGTTGACAATTGTTTCGAACTACAACAAAGACTGGAGGCCCTGTCCTTGGTGCTGAATGACACACACACACACACGCACACACAAACATGCACACACAAACACACACACACACAAACACACACACAAACACACACACACACAAACACACAAACACACACACACACATGCACACACACTCACACACGCACGGTGCATACACACACCTGGTTCTGAGCTGCCTCCTCCTGCAGTCGTTGTTCCCAGGACATCTTCATGGCCTCCATCTCCTCCTGGTTCCTCCTCAGCTGCTCCTCCATCGACTTCTTCATCTCCTCTACCTCTGCAGCATCAGATGGAGAAATCATTACACATCATCCTAACATTGCAGAGCATCTCAGATCACACAAACTTCATTTCATAGATGACATCGTCTTAGTCACCCTGAGTGCAGTGGGCCAGAACAATCCCCTGGCCAGAATTCACCCGGGTAGCCAGGGGTTTGTACCAGCCTGATACACTAGCTGGCACTGGTACAGGTAACAACAAATTTTACCCGCACTTATAGTCAGAATCCAGGAAATATGGATCGCACTAAAAGCCCATTATTTTGCCCTACCAAATGTAGGCGGTACAAGTCAATATAGTTACATAATTATAAAAGTCCATATGCAGGTAGACTTCAGAAATTTACCAGATTCAAATTTCAGCCCAGCCACATAACCTCCTGGAATGGAATTCCACATCACCCACCTTCCTCTGTGAACTTGCCCTTGCTGTCTTCATCCTCTTCTGAAACCAGTGGCTGTGGCATGACGCCGCCGGCCAGGGGTGCTTTTAGCATCGGACCGACCAACCAACCAGCCAACCAACCGACGAACAAAATATACAAACAAAATGTCCCCACCTTCCTCGGTGAACTTGCCCTTGCTGTCCTCCCCCTCCTCCTCTACATCCAGTGTCTGCGGCATGACTCCGCCAGCCTGTGCTGCCTTCAGCATTGAACCGACCGAACAACCAACCAACCGACGAGCAAAATATACAAACAAAATGTCCCCCACCTTCCTCGGTGAACTTGCCCTTGCTGTCCTCCCCCTCCTCCTCTGCGACCATCGGTTGTGGCATGACTCCGCCGGCCTGCGCTGCCTTCAGCATGTCCATCAGCTTCTGGTTTTCCTCCTTCAGTTCACGGATCAGCTTGTCCGTCGGACTCTCGTTAACGACTGCCTTTGTCTTAATCGCCTTGGCTCGGTCAGCTAGGGGTGGGTTGGGTACACTTTTCTAAGACTTTTATACAATCATGAAAGTTCATCTGTATTGGTAGTTATATGCTTTTAACTTTAAGGCACATATAAAACTTTAATTTGTTCCAACACAAAGGGGAAATCTCATTAACGACCGCTTTCGTCTTAATCGCCTTGGCTCGGTCAGCTAGGTGAGGAGTGAGTAAAGTTGCTGTTTAATTTCCTCCTTGTGTATTCCTTCAATCTATAATGTCCATAAGTCTTCCCTGCATCTATTCATAATTCCTTTTATCTGTTTTTCTTTCACTTCTTTTGTTTCCCCTAGAATCACTTGTGACAGACAATATCATTTTCAATTTGACTGATTGGCTACTGGACTATTTTTGTCATATGGTAAGAGGCCAATTAAACACACAATGTCCTGTCAATGTCCTGTTGTTTCATTGGACAGTATTCAGGATATCAAACTGACACACTGTTGTCCCATTGGATGATATCCTGTCAATGAACTGTGCTGCTTTTTCATTGGACAGCATTCAATCATTTAAACTGAACACTGTTGTTCCATTGGACAATGTCATGTCAATCAAACTTCACACCAATTCCATACAGTATCATGTAAGCAGGCTTACCAAATCTCAGTGTGGACAGGGTCTCATCATAGTTGATATCAGCAGGACTCAAGGCTGCAATCTGCGTACAATATCATCATTGATACGTTCAGTTATGAGTTATGATTTAATTCTTAACGGCTCCTGAAGAAAGAAAAGTAGTTGTACCCCCCAAAAAAAACATGCAAATTTTCAGGCTATGCAGTTAGAGTTGTTTCTTGTAGAAAACTCACCATAATAGTCTTACTGTTGCCTCCTAGTGCGTTCTTCAACAGCTTAGTCAGTACAGAATCTCTGAAAGGCACTGCAGAAATACAGATGCATGGTGAGAATAAGGATTGGTATGTTATACATGCTACACAGATCAAAACCAGCCCGAATTGCCCTCAGGAAGGTGACAGATGGTCACCAAAATGTCGGCTATATAAAAGTCTTGGTTGTGTAAAAAGAGTCTCTTTACTCAGTGTCTTACCATTTCTGATGAAACTATTTACGGATACACATATCTAGATGTTCAATGGCAGAGTGGTTAGGGTACCAAGAGGCTAATAAATTATTATACGGATTCAATTCCTGGCATTCTTGGCAAGATTTTGCATCCTTGAGAAAGGCATTTAGCATGACTTTCCTCACTCCACCAATTTGAAGGTGTAAAATGGTTCATGATCAGTTGGGGAGGTAAAAGGCAGTGGAAGGAGAGGGACGGGCTCTGCCCTCCAATACCGTGCCCCAGACACAGTGGATTTAACAACCTATGACTAAGGAAACATCTCTACCTTTCATTTTAATTAAAGACAGCAAAACTGAGCATAAAGACACAAACTTACCCATCACTTTTCCTTTGCCACTGGACTGATCAGCCAAAGCTGCAAGAAAAAGTCAAAAGAATGCACAAAATTAAATTTTATGTCTTTTGTATGCAGAACTGAAAGTTGAAACAGTGAAAAGTCTGTAGACATACACCGTTGGAGAGCATAATCAAAAGTTTTAGTATATTTTCTTACCTTTAATAACATTCCCAAGCGTTGACAGTGACTGGTTGATGGCAGAACCTTCCTTGAGCCTGTCTCCTGTGGCACCTGTGCTTTCAGCTCTCTCACTATGTAACAAGAAATACCATTGGTCGAATAATCTGAATCATCATCAGTGATTGGCTGATGGAATGATCCTCCTCTACTTGCACCTGGATACTTAGCTATCTTGTTATGTAAGAAGAGCTCCTACTGGTCAGATTTTATGAAATGTCATCAATGATTGGTTGATGAAATAAAGATGAAACTAGAAATTTTAAGGTAACATTTGTAAAGCAAATGCATAATGTTTACCTTTGTGTATGGTCTGCTCTGTTAATTCTTACTCATTCAAAACACATTCACATAACATGGTGACAGGAGTCTAAATCCCTCCTACTATAAAATTGCAACATGATGTAACCCAACACCAGTTACCATGGTGAGAGACAGCCTGGTTCAGGTCATTGACCAGTTCAGAGGTCAGTGTTTGGAACAGAAGAAGAAGAAACAGAGCAAAAACAATTATAATTATATGTTTTCCTTCGGTTAACATGATTATCATAAACACGTCTTACCTTCCAGCCAGATCTACCAGGTTGATGACTGAAGATTTTGTCATGCTCTGTCCAGCTTCATTTGGGGCCTTCTGGCTGAAGTTGATGGCCACAATAGTATGGGCTCGACTATGGGAAAACCAAGCATTTCAGAATAAGTTATGACAACTTTCTTTGTCTTTGTCACATTGTGTAATCTATAGTGTCTGTATACTTTAAGATTTGTTAATTTTCAAAGCCTTGAAAATGTCTCAAATTAATTCTGATGTGTCGAAGGTTAGACATCCAAGTAAGATATGCCAAAAAACAGTTACTCATTGACAAGCAACTGCATGGATATGATTTTGGATATGGTCAGACGTTTCAGGTAGCATCCACTAGCTTTCGTCAGTCACACTGGAGAGTTGTCAGAAATGCTTAGAAAGTCATACTAAGTCCTATAAACCTGTTTTTCTGACAAGTCTCCAGTGTCTCTGAGGAAAGGTGGTGGACGCTACCTGAATTGTCTGAATGTTTCCAAACTCATATCCAGTTGCTTGAGTAACTGTTTTTTTTGGGGGGGTAATTCTGATGTGTGTTAGCTGCCGTTCCGCCACAAACCTGCTGGTGGCGTTCATGTTGGTTGCAGCCACTGTCCTGTTCCGTGTCCCCTCGTTGATTTTTCTGTCTATGTCATCATAGCTGCTGACTGGAGCTGTCACAAGCTGGTCAACTGGAGGCAGTGTGGAAAAACAGATTAAGCTCCATGTACATTATATAAGAAGCTCAGTTTTTAATTGTTTGTAACTACAACAGTTACTATAACTACAAGACTGGCGTCCCTGTCCTTGGTGCTGAATGACTGGTACTCATGCCCGTAGCCAGGATTTCGCTTAGGGGGGTTCTTCCCACTGTCTGAGGGACCAGCATGCGCCTTCTGAAATGGCACTTCCTGAATTTTTGAGAGGATTTCAAACAAAAAATCAGAGATAACAGTTTTTTTACAATTCCAGCTCTGCTGGTGATACAAATCAGTCCATCTTTTAAAGAAAAATCTTGGACCTTTAGATAAAAAGTGGACCTTTGACCCCCCTGTCTACAGGCATGGTACTATGTTCTATGATAAACATAGACAGTTTGACTGATCAATCAATTGATTCTTCCAGTACCATAAGACCATGTACCTACCGTAGAAGCCCTTGCTGGGGTGCTGTCTGACCTTGAGTCCCCCCTTGATGTGGGCAGTTTTGGGGTTGAGAAGGTCTCTGACCTGCTCATTATAAATCTCCAACATACTGACAGACACCTGTGGATGGTGATACAAGATGACACATTTTTATCATGTTCAGCATCAGGGCTTGAAATCCTTTTTTTTCTGCATACCTGCACCAGACAAATTCTACCTGTGCCACTCAGGACCTAGGAAGTATGGATCATACTTAAAACTACCATTGCCATTATTTTTTTATACTTCATACTTGATAGTAACAGTCAATGCAGCAAATAAGAATCCACATAAGTGCAGGTAGACATTAAAAACAATATTACCTGCACTAACCTGCATATACATGTACATCTTGTACAAGTGGTATTTTAGCCCTGTCAGATCATTGATATTAGACTAATACTGTGTACCTTGCAATATAAAATGTGACCTATTTTGTCAACAAATTTTGAAAGTCAACAAACATGAACTGACCTGAAATTCCTGGTCCTTTGCATCAGGGTTCTGTTTTTTCTCATCGATACCAACAAAAAGCTGCTCACAGGTGATAGGTACAATACCTATGGAAACAAGAGAAGTGTTGTATGAACAGCTTATGATACAAGTATATTGTGAAGTACTGTATTTGATATTTGACAAATGAATGGAAATATAGGTACTCTTACCAAATCAAATGCACTGTTTATGACGAGTGATTTAAGACAAACTTGGTGAACAACATACGCTCTAATGTACAGCTAAAATGTACTACAATATTTCCTTGCCTTTTTCAACAAATGCACTGTGGCATTGCACCATAGCATGGCTTTCCTTGTTTTTAAAATTCCGAAGCATTGCACAAAACCTTAGTGGGAATTCATTAAGTTTCTGGTCCAGGAATGACAACTTTCTACAGACCCTAAGACATGCATTTATGTAAAATTTGTTAGATTTTTGTGCAAAAATATGTTAGATTTTTGTGGAAAATATGTTAGATTTTTGTGGAAAATATGTTAGATTTTTGTGGAAAATATGTTAGATTTTTGTGTACAACTTGTTATATTTTTGTGTAAGCTTTGTTAGATTTTCTATTGACTTTATAAAAGAGCCCACACCTTTGTTGTTGCCATATAACCATAGAATAGGACTTCCCAGACCCAGTCTGTCCATTTTAGTTTTTTGTGTCAAATTTATGATTTTTTTTTGTGTAAGATCATTGTTAGATTTTTATTGACTTTAGAAAAGAGCCCACACCTTTGTTGTTGCCATACCCCACCATAGAGTAGGACTTCCCAGACCCAGTCTGTCCGTAGGCAAACAGGGAACAGTTGTAGCCCTTCCAGGCATTGGACAGCACCCCTCTGCCAAGATCCTCAAAAACCAACGCCTAGGGGCAAGATGAATATGAAAGATTATAATCATAAAAGAATTGCTTTGGAGCTAGTGGTAGGACTTAAGTAACAGAAGGATAAGCGGTTCAAAATAGGCATACATCAAATAATATCTTCAATACAAATTCAATACTATCCCATACAAAATTCTTTTTTTTTTTTCAAAGACCAAGTTGTTGCATGAAATAGTGGGGAGTTCCTGAGTTCCTCCACCATACCATTCACTTCCTCCAAAGCCTGTTACTGAGGCTATTGCTTACCTGGTCTTCACACACAGACTTAGTACTGCCTTACCTGGTCTGCATAGTTAGACCCCACCCCAGCCCTCTCCAGATATCCATCCTCCCGTTCCCTGTACCCATCATGTGACCAGTAGGAGAAGTCAAACGTGAACTTGCGTCCCTCCTCCGCCAGGTTAGCCGGGTCCTTTATCAGGGTGGTGTTTCCCACCATGTTGATGATGAGGGTGGCATTGCGGGCCTTCTCTCGGTCATTGTGAGAACGGTTAAGGCTCCAAGTCTTAAAACATATTACTGATATAGAGTCTGTATGCTATTTAATAATAAGTACAGTAGAATAACACAATCATATATTAAATTATATGAGTGTGGCATTGCGGGACTTCCCTCGGTCATTGTGAGTACTGTTAAGGATGGTCTAACATTTTACATTCAACCCCAGATATTATAGAGATTCTGATGTAGAGATGGATGTTTACTGAACAAGTAGAGTATAATACTGGGAGGAGTAAAAACATTGTGCTTATATATGGTGCGTTCTTTTACAACATTTATTGCTTTTTAAACTACTCCTGATTGCTTAACTAGGATTGAATTTCTTATTCTTGGGTCAATGGGAAAAAATTCAAAAGACTATGATCAGAAAATGGCCACAATGGCCAGATGGTCCTATGCAGAGCTGGACATTTTAGTTATTTTTACTGAATAGACGACCTACAAAATAGTACAATCATGTATTCTGTCATACAATCTGTAAATTTGTGTACTATTTCTGTATTTTGCAATGTAAGAATAAGCACCTTTAGTTAGCTATTTAACAGTTTTGTTAATTCTTACTAGGAAGTAGGTTATAGATACAACAGGCCACTTAACTGGAAACTTGTTTATTTTCTTGGCCTCTGAGGCATTGAGGCCTGCATGGTTTATTCACTTGTATAGAGGCCTTCTAAACCAATTTCTGGAAAAAAAAAAGACTTAAAGCACCGTACAGGATTTCTATCTAAAGTGAAATTAATGTTTTATAGAACTGTGCATCCTCTACTAATAGACAAAGTTGATCTGTGTTCCCTTAAAAAAGAAAAAAAAAATTAAAGATGGTCTTACAGTTAAAGTCAGTATCGCTGAAATGTACAAAAATACCATGATCATTATCTATCTTTATGAAATATAATGAAATATTCTTATGTTTTCAAAGGCGCCATGGTGATATCTTACTTCCTTATGGCTGTGTTATCTTAACATCTCTCCTACCATACTTACAATCAATATGATATCCTCATAAATAATTCATAACAATCTGCCACATGACATTTCAAAGACTACGTTTCACACGAAAACGAATGGTGCAGACACTGTAACTTGATTAGCCATTGACAGAATAGGGCGGGAATTGAAAGGACACTCAATTACTGCAATTCAAACCAACAGCACTTAGTAAGAAGTACCAGTTATATGATATTTGCACACACATAAAATGTAGGTGAACTTTGCTTGCTATGAAATATTAATCGATAACAGGTGATTTTCTTCTCAGAACACTAACGACGAAGTTTCATGTACAAAGTCATTCTGGCTAAATGGAATGAAAATTCTGTTGATATATCTCACATTAAATTTGTCAATACGTACATTATTATATATAATTCTAATTTTTTTAATACAAACTCAATGATCAAATACTTAATAGCCTGGGCCAATTTGAATTAAGGACCAATTCAGCCAGCATACATGTATATCGTTGTATGCTTGCCCAGTCAGGCCATAGCCATTTTTTCCACACATATACGTTATTGGTCTTCTAAATATTTTCTTGCTTCAAATGGTGTAAAAAAATAGTGGAAATTTTGAAAATTTTTGATAGTGAAAAGTTGGAAATGTCCTATTGGGCAACTGAAGATTTTGTTTTTGAACCCTGGAAGAAAGCAATTGCTTTAGCCGATGTTAACATAGCCTTAACCTCCTTAAGTGCCAAGTTTGGGGAGTAAATTTGTATTTTCATAGCAACAGAGCTATTCGTTGATCCAAAAATTAAGTCAATTGAGGACAATGCAAACAACTTGCAATCCCAATCACAACACAAACTTGTATTGACTAAACTACTAAACACAGAGATGCTGCAATTTGAATGTGAATTGAATGTTTCTTGATTTGTTTAGCACTGTTTATCCCAGTAGTCAATAGCCAATTTGTCTTGTGGACTTTCCTCTCTGTTCAAATACATGACTCGGCTGTTTCAATTACAAACAAAACATCACGTTTTACTGATAAACTGTGTACCCTAATAAATAACTGTTGGCGTGGCTAATAGTTAGTGCCAGTTAGAATTATTTCAAGGATTTCAAAGTTCAAAGAGCAAAACAATATACCTAACAATAGGGTCTATTGTCTGTACTGTAAATTACTGTAAGTCAGAATATATTTATCTTGGAGTTAAATACAGATTTTGTCATCATTCAGTTGTCTTTAAAATTGAATTCTTTTGGCCACATAATTTTTACCTTTAAGTTAGTAAATTAGTACAAGTTACATTACTAGCAATACTTCAAAACAAGTTTAAGGTAAATGGATTTAAGATCAAATAGCGAAACTTCAAATTCAGACAAGGAAGTGAACTGATGTAAAGAAAAAACGACAACGAAACAAAAACATAATGTACTGGCAAAAATATATTATTGGGTCATCAAAGAAGGCAACAAACTACATATAAGTGGAACTGGCTTTTCTTCTGGGCCCCCAGAAATAGCAGATTACCGTAAGAACAGCGTAACCCGATTAGTTACGTTGTATTAAATGTAGAACTAGAAGGGGGCAGGGCACAATTTTTGACAAAAACATCCCGATCTCCAATAATCAAAAGCAGCATTTTAAGCAATGATACGTCTTTGCCCACAGTTAGTTTTTTCTATTCACTATTCTCGACAAGAGGTCCCTCTCCCGTTCTTTGTCACTAAATTATATTACGTAAACTTGAAGGTACAGTATTACGTTACCACATATAAATACGAACAGGTGTTCTGTGTTCAAAACACCGGCAACCACTAACAACAATGGCGATTTAACACCTTTAACGTTTACCTATGTCATTAAAACGACGACATGGCCTACAAAACTATCTAATAAACCTATAAACCAACATCTAGACCCTAGAAGGCACCAAAAACGACAGAAAAAGGATATAAAAGGCCGAACCCGCACTGCAACTTTTACATTCTCCGCCATCTTGGAATAGCTGTTCCAGAAATCAACCTACCCCCTCCGAACGGATGCACCTGTCAGCTTTAATTTCCGCTTTCGCAATATTCTTTTCACTTTTACACAAAGCAACTTATTCAGAAACTCTTTCTTAAAATGAAATGGTACATCTATAATACGTTAACGTAAGGTAATGATATTCTTTATTACAATTTATTGAAATATTTTGGGGAGGTGTACAGGTGTATGATCCCTTCATTGACCCAAATCTTGTATACGCCCGTCGCTAGGTAACAGGTGAATAAATAGCCCAGACAATAATGGGGATGGGCCGGGATATCGTGCATATATCAACGTTAACTCTCGTATGAGTGCACGAAATGCGATAAGGCTTTATATATTAGTACAAAGAAAGACAAGTTGGAAAGGGTACAGAATCAAGCTACAAGATTCTGTATGAACAACTATACATGAAAGAGGTGCTAGTGTCACGGAAATTAAAAGAAACCTACAGTGGGCCTCACTGGAGGACAGAAGAAAGATGTCCAGACTATGCATGATGTAAAAAAAATGACTAATAAACTGGTGGACATCCCAACTACTAAGTACCTAATACCAGCCCAGAAGAGAACAAGAAATAGCCATGCCTTCAAGTACCAGAGTTATCAACCAAGGATTGAGGTGTTCAAATATTCATTCTTTCCTAGAACTATCGCAGAGTGGAACTCACTGTCACCAAGTACAGTAGGGGCATTATCATTAGATAGCTTTAGATAGCTCAATGTCTAGAGTTAGAAGTTCAAGGGTTAGGTGTGACAAGTCGATCGGTGTAATATGGCCAGCTGCCGCCGCGCCGCGTGCCTGCGAAGCTGGTGTGTTACGTCGAAAGTCGGTTATTCCGGCTATACTGATATAAATGAATGAATGATATAGACATGCATACGTTTTATAATCATTATGTATGATAGACAATGTTGCTCAGGTTGTATGTTCATGTTATATGTTCATGTTGTTATTCTTTTGCCGTCTTCCTGGGTGAACCTAAATTTGTCATGGTGCTAGGGCCATGTAGTTTTATAGAAATATCATAGTTGCCTGCTATTTAGCTACATTCCTCGTAATTACCAGCTGTGAGATGTCAAAGGAATGTTTTTTTAATTGCATAATGCAGTCACAAATTGAATGCCCCTTTGATTACTAGTAGCCAAGATTTCTTAACTTGTAAATGTTCTTTTTAGGATTATGTTGTAGTTGTCTAGTTTTTAAACATATATATGTTAAGATGAGTGCAGTTTATGCCAAAAAAGTTACTCACGCAACTGGATTCATGGACACTATCCTCTCTGAAGTGGAATTAAGATCCAGCCTATAGTAGAGCAGCGGAGGAACGTTGGGGCCCTTTCACTCTTACACAGGCCAGGATGTACCATCAAGATGCACCTACCCTACTGAACAGCATACCACCCGAGCCCTATGAACATCGCCGAGAAACTCGCCTATCTACATAACCCCAACACGGCCTTGGAACCTGTCAAGTCGACATCCTCCTGCCACAGAAGAAAATTTCGTCCCTGCTACAGTCAAGCTGTGGAACTGTCTCCCACAGGACATTGTCAACACCAGGGACCTTCCGAACTTCAAACGTAAAGTCAACGCCTACCTCAGCGCCACTCGTCAGAGACCTGTATAGCAAACGTTATTCGGTACAGCTGCTAAGCTGAGGACTTGGTGACAGCATAGAAAAAAATGATTTTGGAAACGGTCAGATGTTTTAGGTAGCATCCACTTGCACTACTTTGTCAGTGACAATAGAGACTGCAGGAGAAAAGTAGATTAAGTTGCTTGTGTAACTGTTTTTTGGCGTATCTTATTACCCGAATGTCTAACCTTCACCAACGTAAGCGCAGTTTAGTGTTGAATAGTTGTAGTATAGTGTTGAGAATAGTTGTATTCTAGTGTTAAAGTTAGTTGTAGTCTAAAGCGAAAGTCTTTTGTTGTCTTAGCCTTTATTTTTCGTGTATTTTGCCTGTATTCTAGTACAAGTAGTGGCCACCTTGTCCTAGAATGGATCCAAAATATATGAATACATTGGCTTTGAGAGCAAAGGTCTTTACATAAAGTAGGCTGTAGCGTAATTATAATCAGGTTAGGTTTAAGTCTAGGGCATCGTAAATTTTTGAAACTTAGCTTTTTTGAAATGTCACTCAACCTGAGCAACACACTGTACACTTCATAAACAGTCAAGTGGTCTTTTTTTGAGTTTTTGTTTCAGAAGGATGAAGGATGAAATAAAATAGAAGTTCCTGTTCTGTATAACAGGAGCTTTCTGACTAATTTGCATTATCCTGTCTTGACTTGTCTGACTTTTGTTCCCTTTCGACTTCACTTTATTTGCACATCAATCAATAGTTTGTGCATATAAACCTGCATGATCCTGCATCTCTCCTCTGGTCTCTCAGTCACTGACGAAAGGTAGTGATACTAGCTGAAACGTCTGACCGTTTCCAAAATCATATCCAGTTGTTGCTTGAGTAAATGTTTTTGGCGTAAAATAGTGTTATTGAAGTCCCATCCTTGGTCCCATGCAGTATTCATGTCCCCATGTAGTGCTCACCACCCACCCGAAATCCCGAAACACCCATTGATTTATGTCGGTATCAAGCGTTCTCATAAACCCCGTGTAGGTCCTTGCTAAAGCGCCACCTAATGAAAAATGAAGGTACTTCAACCAAGTAGGTACAAACCAGATGTTCCATGTTGAAAAGAAGACAAAAAACTTTATTCTCTATTTGTCAGATTCAACCCATAGTAATTTATTTGATGTTGAGCATAAAATACACGAACACATAAAAACACACTGCAAAACAAGCTTATTTTAAAGTAACATTAACGTATAACTTACTAGTACTAGTATTTTAATATTAGCGACACCTATCTGATATATCATGAAGTGCAGTAACCAGCAGCCCAGTGATGATGTCATCACAAAATGGCGTCTGCTGCTTCGAAAATGGCATTTCGTCTGCTGTTGCCGAAACTTCACACCAGAAGTACGCCCCTTTCCTTGCTTTTCTACCCGATTTCAACAACCCAAACGTACTCTGAAGAACTTACGAACATTCTGGTATCATTTCTGTACGCATGCGATAGTTGTAGGAACTTTTATGGAGTTGTGAAGTTGTGAAAATTTAAACGTTTAAATGCCCACCGAACTGGCGCGCTTTTTAACTTGGCCGCTTGCGTTCGATGGGGGCGTTTATGCACCGACAAGCAAAAGATAAATGTCATATTCCATAATCCATAGCTTTTAGATAGACGCAGCTACATAGGCATGCTATAGTAACGCAGTTATTGGCCTGTTACACATGTAACGTTACAGATGTAAAAGTTCAGGATTAGTGATGACAAAGTTCACATGGCATGGGGGAGGGGGGCAGATAAGCAAGTTGAATCAGAATCAGATTTACCAGTCCTCTGTGTTATGTCTGTTTTTGACAAGTTCATGGCTGAACACTCGGTGTCAAGGTTGAGGGCGGGTGATACTAGTAATCTATTATAAGCCCTCCTGATTTGTATGCTATAACGTTAACGTTTGTATTCTATTATGCAGTGTCAGATCTAACGTTAATTTCATGATTAAAACATCAAAAAGCGCTCAGTATTATCAAAACACCCCACTGAAGTTATTTTATGGATGACATATTCTTATTACGTGAGTGTTCTTTTGGTGATCCTCCTAGCAGTTTCCTTCCAAACGGCAGATTACATGCATGCCAATACTTATAATTAGTACTGCACAAGTGGGATCAGAGATAAGTGTCTTCTGTACAGCCTGAAGGACTCCAAAGAAGTGACAGCAGTACTAGTAGATGTGTGGTCTAGTACTAGATTGCAAGTCTGCTTAATATATGGGGTGTTGGTCACCCGACTTGCAGTCTAGAATTCGAATAGTTCAGTGTTGTTGAAATGTAACGTTACTAGCAGAGATTTTTTACTACATTTAACCTGTGTGTACTACATATATTGATCTTTTAGATAAAGGCTAGATAAGGGTGCAAATTGCTTTTAATTTAGCTGATTTCAATGCATCTTTGCTTTTGACCATTTACAGTATCATTCTTCAGTGCTCTTGTTTTTGCAGGATTTTGCAGTAGTGTGGCAGCAGCTGACCTACCTCTAAGTGGAATCAGGGTGTTAGACTTGACAAGGTAAGGCCTATTGCTTCAGAATGGACATGAAATGTTGCTGTTTTTTCTTTTTCATGCCTGTGGTACAAAATCTCTTGCTACCAGTGGTTATTGACCTCTCCCCAAGGGCCACTAGTAGGAGCGCAGTTTAGTTAGGCTAGTTAATATGTATCACATGTACAGGTTTGTATGGTAGCCAAGCACAAGCTACTTAGGACCAGACTATATCAAATAAGGTGATCCACTCAAACTGGGAAGGACCTCTAGTTTTATCAGAAAGTGTGGTGGGTCTGTAACATGCTCAAGGTGTGGCTGTCCTCAAACATGGGACCAGAGAGGATGTCCCAAAAGTTATTCAGAACTGTTAGAATCTAAATCAACAACCCTAACTACAATTATGCTAACACCACTGGATGCTTGTCATGTCTAACACCTTAAAAGTCCTAGACCTTCAGGAGTTCAAGACTTCTCTCTGAACAACTAGCAATCAAAACCAGATGGAGCCGTGACATTACCTTGGTTGACCCTCCAGCTGGCTTTAAATCAAAGTACTAGTAAGAGTATAAGAAGTGAGATGGGAAAAGTGCAGAACATGTTTGTTAACAGTAGGGCTTCTGAGGATGTTGCAAACTCCATCAGTTTGGGTCACAATTAACAGACGCTAGAAGTTTGGCTTGTCTATACTTTTGTAACAGTGGGGTTCAAGTGAATGACAAAGACCAATCATAGGAAATGAAGTGAACTTTAAGGTCACGAAAACCCAAAATATTTCAATGACATGGAAGTCTGGTTCAATCAATGATTTCTTGTTCTTAATTGTTGTGGTAACCAAGAAAGGTACTACTCTCCAAGCAGAGGTTTGGGTTTGGGGTTGTTTCTAGGGTTTTTTTAGGGTTTCTTTTTTTAGACTGGAATTTTTTTTGGGTTGAGTAAAAAAAAAATTCCAGTGCAAGAAGGAAACCCAGATAAAAAAGCCTAAAAACACGCCAAAAATAACCCAAACCTCTGCTTGGAGAGTAGAAAGGTGCTGAGTCTGCAAGATGCTGAGGAAGTGTGTCTCAGCTTTGTGGTTTCTTGGCCAACCCACAACTATTCCAAATAACAATGCCAAAACCACATCAAGAGCACCTGCAGGGAGCAATGTTCCAGCAGTGCTAATGTGTTTAGTCTCGACTGTGGCTTTAGCCTGAGGCCTAAGAAAAAAACGTTGTGTTTCCTGTTTCCCGACCTACCATGGAAAAAACTGCCGACTCTAGCCTTTATTTCTGTGGACTCCTGCATCACTGTAGCCTGGGTACCATCCTGGTCAGTTGGTGGGAGCAACTGTGGGAGTGGACGTAAACTAATAACCAGGATGGTACCCAGGCTAGCATCCCTCCAAAGGACATAATTAATTTTTTGAGCTGATCAACCTTTTCTAGCTTCATGATCTGACACCTTAGTGATGAAACGCTGTACAATCAGTTTTCCAACATTGACATTGATTTTTAATGCAGTTTTAATGTTTTTAGTCTCGACTGTGGCTTTATAGGCCAAGGAGCAAAATTGTTGTGTTTCCTGTTTCCCGACTGACCCTGAAAAAAATTGCCGACCCTAACCTTTTTTATGTGGACCCTTGCACTTCTCCCTTTTTGGCTAAATTTCAACAGTTTTGAAGTAGAACCCACGTTGTTGGTCTGGTAGAGGCTAGCAGGCTCCAAAACTCGTATGCCAACAAAGACAGACAGGCATTAAATCAATTGAGTAGGGAGTAACTGATCTTGCCAACAATTCAGAAACAGGTGGGATCCCACACATCTGTATAATTTTAGGCCTAAGAAAATGCTGTGTTGCCTGTTTCCCGACCAACCCTAGAAAAAACTGCCAACTGTAGCCTTCTTTTGTGCGGACCCCTGCAAGGGACATACTTTTACTAGCTGATCAACCTTTTCTAGCTCCATGATCTGACACCTTAGTGATGAAACGCTGTACAATCAGTTTTCCAACATTGACATTGATTTTTAATGCAGTTCTAATGTTTTTAGTCTCGACTGTGGCTTTATAGGCCAAGGAACAAAATTGTTGTGTTTCCTGTTTCCCGCCGACCCTGGAAAAAACTGCCAACTGGAGCCTTCTTTTGTGTGGATCCCTGCAAGGGACATAAATTTTTCTAGCTGATCGACCATTTCTAGCTCCAAGATCTGACACCTGAGTGATGAAAGTTTGAACGTTGTACAATCAGTTTTCCAACAATTACATTGACGTTAAAAATGAAAGAGTCCTCATTCAAGTTTTATTTTATAAATTGGATCACTAGAAGTTTAAAAAAGGAAAGAAAAAAAACCCAACCTACTGACCCTATTTTTTTTGTTTGTTTATTAAGATTTTCCACCAGATATGTGGAAAGGGAGGGAGAACAGGCGAAGCACCTTTTCCAGCTCCCGTCCCAAAATTCAGTAAAAAAAAACATTGAATTCAACAGGAAACACAACATTTTTTTAAAAGCCTTAAATGAAAAAGCCCTCATGCATGTTTTAACTGTATAAGTTGAATCACTACAGATTAAAAATAGGAAAGAAAAAAAAACGTAACGTTACTCCCTACCTACGACCCTCTTTTTTTCAGAACTGAAACAGGAAACACAACATTTTTTTAAAAGCCTTAAATGAAAAGTCCTCATGCATGTTTTAATTGTATAAGTTGAATCACTACAGATTAGAAATAGGAAAGAAAAAAAAACGTAACGTTACTCCCTACCTACGACCCTCTTTTTTTCAGAACTGAAACAGGAAACACAATATTTTTTTTCCTCGGCCTTTCTAGGAATGCCTGTGGCTGTGGGACAGGGTTACAGACAGGAATAGTTAATGGGTTAGATATGATGAGATCAGACAGGGGCTGTGTAAATCTCCCCTCAGTCTTGAACAAGGTCGGAGACAAAATTTTCAAGCTGATCACCTTTTTCTAGCTCCATGATCTGACACCTGACTGAGTAATGAGACGTTGTACAATCGGATTTCCAATATTGACATTCAAAAAGAAAGAGTTCTCATGCAAGTTTTATTGTATCCCTACAGATTGCAAAGTCTAAAACAATAATAAAAAAGATAATCCCTACCTACCGACCCTATTTTTTTCAGGACTAAAACAGGAAACACACCATTTTTTCCCTCGGCCTTTCTAGGAATGCCTGTGGCTTTGGGACAGGGTTGTAGACAGGAATAGTGAATAGGTTAGATATGATGAGATCAGACAGGGGCTGTGTAAATCTCCCCTCAGTCTTGAACAAGGTCGGAGACAAAATTTTCAAGCTGATCGACCTTTTTCTAGCTCCATGATCTGACACCTGACTGAGTAATGAGGCGTTGTACAATCGGATTTCCAACATTGACATTCAAAAAGAAAGAGTCCTCATGCAAGTTTTATTGTATCCCTACAGATTGCAAAGTCTAAAACAATAATAAAAAAGATAATCCCTACCTACCGACCCTATTTTTTTCAGGACTGAAACAGGAAACACAACATTTTTTCCCTCTGCCTTTCTAGGAATGCCTGTGTCTTTGGGACAGGGTTACAGACAGGAATAGTTAATGGGTTAGATATGATGTGATGAGACTGGGGCTGTGTAAATCTCCCCTCAGTCTTGAACAAGGTCGGAGACAAAATTTTTCAAGATGATCGACCTTTTCTAGCTCCATGATCTGACACCTGAGTGATGAAACATTGTACAATCGGTTTTCCAACATTGATATTGAAAATGAAAGAGTCCTCAACTCCTCATATTGCATAACTTGGATCACTACAGATTGCCAATCTCTTAAAAAAGGAAATAAAAAAAGATAATCCCTAACTACTGACACCTACGGTACTATTTTTTTCAGGACTGAAACAGGAAACACAACATTTTTTTCCTCGGCCTTTCTAGGAATGCCTGTGGCTGTGGGACAGGGTTACAGACAGGAATAGGAAATGGGTTAGATATGATGAGATCAGACTGGGGCTGTGTAAATCTCCCCTCAGTCTTGAACAAGGTCGGAGACAAAATTTTCAAGCTGATCGACCTTTTCTATCTCCATGATCTGACACCTGAGTGATGAAACATTGTACAATCGGATTTCCAACATTGACATTCAAAAAGAAACAGTCCTCATGCAAGTTTTATTGTATAAGTCACTAGAGATGGCAAAATATGAACATATTTGAGTTGATTCAGAACAATGATCTTTTTTTTTTGGCAAATCAGAAAAAAATTAAGAGGCAAATCCGAGAACCAACCAATTGAATTGGCATGGCCTAAAGAATGCCTGTGTCTTTGGGACAGGGTTACAGACAGGAATAGTAAATGGGTTAGGTATGATGAGATCAGACTCTGGCTGTGTAAATCTCCCCCCAGTCTTGAATAAGGTCGGAGACAAAATTTTTCAAGATGATCGACCTTTTCTATCTCCATGATCTGACACCTGAGTGATGAGACGTTGTATAATCGGATTTCCAATATTGACAATGAAAAAGAAAGTACTAGTCCTCATGCAAGTTTTATTGTATACGTTGGATCACTACAGATTGCCAAAGTCTCTTAAAAAAGGAAAGAAGGAAAGATAATCCCTGTACCTACAACCCTATTTTTTTCAGAACTGAAACAGGAAACACAACATTTTTTTCCTCGGCCTTTCTAGGAATGCCTGTGGCTGTAGGACATCGTTCAAACAGACAGGAATAGTAAATGGGGTAGATATGATGAGATCAGACTCTGGCTGTGTAAATCTCCCCTCAGTCTTGAACAAGGTCGGAGACTTTGTGTAAATCTTGTCCAGGCTGGCGGCTGGCAGAGTGGATCGCTGGTGATGCCGGAGGGGAGGGTTTCAGAAGTTCAGTGCGAAACACAGGTGGTTGTGAACTCAGGTCGTTTGTCATCATGTGAGGAAAGAGAATACTCGAGGCTGTGATATCTAACGAAAAGCAAACGTTTAAGGATTCTTAAGAAATAAGAGTTATACATACGTTTGGGAACGCATTGATATATTTCCCTGTAATCACATATATGTGTAGATATGTAAATATCATGTAGATATTGTACAATTGGGAATGCATCTATAGCAGCGACACCTGTGCTGTGCAATGTGAACCAGTCAGAATTGCCCTGAGGAAGATGACAGACGGTCACCAAAAAGACAGCTGAATAAAAGACTTGGTTGTGTGAAAAGAGTCTCTTAGCTACTCAGTGACTTTAACTGACTTACCAACCTGATGAAACTATTCAAGGAACATCATCTGAATCATCAAAGTTAAATTTCAGAACGTTTTTTTTATTATTGTTCAAGTTTGGTTTCATTTTGAGTTAAGTGCAGATCTTCTGAGACCTTGCCTCACAGTCTGTTCAGTAATCATAGGAGAGAGTGTCATCTTTGTTATGTCTGACCCAGACGTGGAGTTGTGACCACCACGAAATCAGGCTGCCAGGCGACGTGAAGGAATAGAGACAGGATTGTCCTTTTATGAGGCCGACAAACCAGACTGGCTTGGACGACGTTCAAGTCTAGGAGATTAGTACAGACTGGTTAGTCTAGGAGAAAAGCTGATTCCTCTTATTATTACTAAGTAATAAGCATAGTTGTTTTTCTGCTGTGAGCCAGCTTGTACAGTAACTAGTACCCCGGTAAGTTGCAGTTTTATTTTGTTCTTGTATTCTTGACAAGATAGTCGAGTATTTTCATTTGGCATTTTTCCACGAGACAGGAGAAAAGCTGATTTCTCTCGAACTTCCAGATTGTTAACTGCTTTTTTGCTGTGAGCCAAAGTTTGAAGCTTGTAAGATGCAGTTTTATTTTATCCTTGCTGGGGTTGGTCAGGGTATTTTCATTTGGCGTTTTTCCATTAGACAGGATTTAAGCTTTGTATTTATCTTCCAGATTGTTAACTGCTTTTTTCCTTTGCTGTGAGCCAAGGTTTCAAGCTTGTAAGATGTAGTTTGATTTTATCCTTGCCAGAGTATTTTCATTTGGCGTTTTTCCACGAGACAGGATTTTTGCCAGGACAGCGTTTTTCTTTTACGATGTAAATCCTTCGAACGTTTCCAGACAGGGTTACTTGTCTGTTGGATGGTAGATGGAGAGCTGCACCTATAGAGTCCAGCCTGGTGTTTTGTGGTTATGGGTACAAAATGTAGGTTGTTTTACTGTTCCTTCTTGCGTTTGTTTGACGATTTGTTGTCTTGCAATAAGAATGCAAGTTGCATTCTTGGGTGGAGTTCAAGAAAGTCATTAAGTAAGTTTGTGATATCTGCTTTAAAAAAAAACTTTAAGGTTTTTTTTAAGGCGATTGATGCTGTGATAGTGATGATTGATTTTTAGTTTCTGTAACTTAACTTGTCACTGTCAGTGTTTTGGGGGGCCCCGGGCTTAGGGCTGGAAATCTGAAAGGTTACCTAAGGTATATGACTTCTGCTGAGCTTCATTTAGGATAGCTGTTTTTCCTGTTCAAGACCAAGATGTACACAATGGGAAAACAATGTGTATTAGAAAAAAACAGGCTTAATAAGGAACATATCTGGTAATCTGTGAGTGGTTGAGTGAACCCTTATAAGTATTTCATAGGATCTGGACTTTGCCTTCTTTTTATGTGTCACATAACTTACAAAGATCATAGGATCAGCTGGAGTGTTACGCTGAAGGATGGTTATACCGGCTCTACCGATACAGCTACAGATACAGAAAGATATTTGTGTGACAGTTAATATAATTATAATGTTTAGTAAAGGCTATTGTTGTTTGTTCCCAGGGTCTTGGCCGGGCCTTTTGCAACGATGATCCTGGGTGACCTTGGAGCAGAGGTCATCAAGGTGGAGAGACCAGGTAGGGCACTAGACAAGGAGAGAATAAAATTTGGAGGATGAATTTTGTCACTCATGGTGTAGAAAAACTTTGACACTCACGGTTTCAAAGGTAAAAAAGTTTCCATAACCAGGAAAAATTTAGCTATTGAAATACATGCAACAGTTAGTTGCATTTGTGCTCCCATACATACTTGATACCCTGCATGGTGATTTCTTTTGGTAGTAGCATCAGTTTTAGGGCACCCAGCACGTCAGCAGAACGTACTGCACCTGCACAAAGCCTGTAATGTATAGAACATCTCATATAAGGTCGTATTCATGCATATAATGTTAATGTCTGTCGTTTCCAAATGTAAGGTCGGAAAATATATCGTCTACAACAGGCAAAATTCTGATGCAACATTGACCAAACATCCAGCGAAAACCGCAAAAATCCAGGGTTCTGTGCAGGCGCAGTACATATTCTGCATGTTAGGGTGCCCAGAGGATGACATCCATATAATCAAATCAGTCTGGCCTTCTAGTGAATAAATGCTTGGAGTTATTGGCCTTGCCTCAACAGTAAATGGGTCATGTATATCTGATCCAGACTGGTCCCTGCAAAGATTGGAGCAGGGTTCTTCATAAACTGTGAAAAACCTGCAGGTGACAGGCCACAGCAGGCCTCTGACAGGGAGTGGAGGGGGATATGATGATAGAGAACTACAGTCTTCAGCTGACTTTACAACCTGTTGTAGCCTTCTTTGCAGGTTCTACACATGTATATACCAGGTCCTGCAGTTGGCTTTTGGGCTAATATCGCAAGTTAAAAGTAAAAAATGATGTTAGAAGTACATAGCAGCCATGAATGACCCCTAGGGATTAATCTAAGAGTGCAAAATTATGCATAATTTCTCCATAGAGGGTACTGACCTTAACTGTGTCTGATTACGCAGTTAGGCTAACTTAGTGAGGCAGTCTCGCTGGTGCAAAGGCACACATAGTGGTGTTGTCAAGTTAGGCAAAACTGCTGGTTGATGTCTGTAAAAATTTGACTAGTTCCATATTTTGACTAACTCTGCAAGCTGGAAGGTTTAATTTCTCTTCAAGCAGAGGTTGGTGGGGAAGAATGTGAATTTGAATGAATGAATGATTGAAGGAATGAATGAATGATTGAGGAACGAACGAATGAAGGAACAAATGAAGGAACAAATGAAGGAATAAAAATGAATGAACAAAATAATGAATGAAAGAACAAATGAAGGAAGGAACAAATGAATGAATGAATGAATGAACAAACAAATGAATGAACGAAGGAATGATCTATCATTTATGCCCAGAATAGGATGGAGGGGATGAAGTCTGCCATCTCTGATCGGCATGTCTGGTTGTTTTGCAGGTACGGGGGATGACACGCGAACCTGGGGTCCGCCCTTCTGTGGAACAGAGTCAGCCTACTTCCTCTCAGTCAACAGGAACAAGAAGGTACTGTAACAGTACTGTGCCTTAAGCTTCAATGTAGCCTCCACCAGGCTTCAGGAGGCAGCTGGAAAGAGTAGAAATTGGCCAAGGGAGTACAGTACAGTACAGAGAACAGTTTGCTGCAAACTGTTCTCTCTAGCAGACCGACTCCCTGGCATGTTACTTGTATCTCTCTGTATTTCACTTTCCACATTATGACCAGAAAAGTCCAGTTTTTTTCTGGCGTGAAATTGCGTTGGATGCTTTAATGGTAAATGTACATTAAGACTTGTTCTCCCTCAGACTTAAAGTTTGTCATAAAAACCCAGAATCCAACAAGGTACCAGTACTAGTCACTAGTACAGTTGTTGTTGTTCGTCCGTCGTAGTCGACGATGACCAATGAACATCACATCAGGTCTTGTGTGTCCGGCTGTGGCTCACAAGTCCTATACGGGCTCTGAAGCTTAACCTTCGTTCATTTGTTTGCTCGTTCGCTAAAGGAGCTCTAAAAACGATTGGGGGTTTATTTGTTCTTTGAAGTCCAGAATGACAGATGCCCTTTCATGTAACCTATTAGAAATACATCTAAAGATACAGTCAGTATCTTGTTTTCTTCTTTTGAATTTATCGCTAGTAATTTATATCATATTAAGTAAAAATTCAAAGGCTTGTGGGGATAAAAGCCACTTCAATACATTATAGCAATGATGCCCTTTCATGTGTAGCTATTTGAAATACATGTAAAAAAGAATGACAAATTTGCCTTTTATTTTCAGAGTATTGCTGTAAACCTCAAAGATCCAAAGGGGGCCAAGATTATCAAACAGGTAAATCTTACTAACACTGAGTAGCTTTACTGTAATGGACAGGAATTGTCATACATAATTATTAATAATAGTGTTATCTCAGTTAATTTTTTTGATGCTGGAAAAGATAGTTGAATGTTGGGTTGTGTGGCGCAACAGCAGCGTGCTCGACTCAGAACCAAGAGGTCCCGGGTTCGAGTCCTGACATGTCACCGATCTTGTGCCCTTGGGAAAGGCATTTTACACGACTTTCCCCCACTTAACCCAAGCTTAAGTGAAAATGAGTATTGTCTGTCCTGTATTTGTTCCCATGTGTGGGACACAACACCAGCAATAGCTGCCTTTGTCCCACATGTATTGCACAATTGCAATTTCAATAAACCAAATCAAATCAAATGTCACTTGAAATCTCTAGAAGTAATCTTCATAATTCATCCAGTAGTAGAATTTGACTTCCCTTGAATATATACAATGTAGGTCACTGTATGGCTTGGTGTGATTGTTTACTTGTACTTGTGATTAGTGTTGACTAGTTCTCTAAGTTCATTTTTGTGATGCTGAAGAAGAGTTATGTAACGGATGTCACTTGAAATCTCCAGAAGTAATCTCCATAATTCATCCATTTGTAGAGTTTGATTTGTCTTTGGATATATACAGTGTAGGTCACTGTATGACGTAGTGTCATCTGGGCCCCGATTGAAGAACTTCATACAATTTCTTCGGTTGCATCCTGAAAGTTCATCGTTGAATGTAGATATCTGGAGTTTTACAGTCAAAAATTTGGGTTAGTCAAATTTCATGTGTTGGAAATTACAGTTAGTTTATTTGATTTGTGTTATTATTTGGTAATTTTTAATATTAACATGTTTATATTTTGTCTTTGACATTAACTTGTAATTAGTGTTGACTAGTTCTCTAAGTTCATTTTCGTGATGCTGAAGAAGAGTGATAGATGTAATAGATGTCACTTGAAATCTCCAGAAGTAATCTCCATAATTCATCCATTTGTAGAGTTTGATTTGTCTTTGGATAACAGGGCTGGAAATACTGGGTGCATGTTCACCTTAGTGCACCCAAAATTGGAGCTGTGCACCCAATTATTTTTGTAGATATTTTTGTACACATTATGTATATGATAGTATGCAGGATATTCTTGGTGTACAAGTGTCAGAAAAATTATAAAATCTTTGTTGTAACTTAAACTTTAAAGTTAGCCCCCATTTCAGATTCAAGCTCAGAAGAGGAGCAGTAAGATCTGTAATTAGTTTTGGTTTTATATGGTGCACCCAAAAGACTTTTTGTTCACCTAATATTTTAGGTTGGGTGCACCAGTGCACCTACATGTATTCCCAAAAATGATTTTCGAGCCTTGTATATATACATTTGTAGGTCACTGTATCACTTTGTGTCATCGTTAACTTGAGGATGCCAATTACTTCCACGTTATGACACTTGGGACTTGCTACTTCCTAATGAAGAAGTCTAGAGGGACATACTAAAAAAAAGTACATGTCATCATCACTTTGCCCAAAGAAAGTCCGTAGTCATTTGAATAGTCCAAAGGAAGTGTCATTTGAATACTGTAGAGTCAAAGCAAGTGGAAGTACAGTAGGGGTATCTTCACCAGATAGCTTTAAACAATGTCTAGAGTTAGATGTTCAAGGGTTAGATGTAACAAGTTGTTCGGTGTAATGTAGCCGGCTGCCGCCACACCGCGTGCCTGCAATGGTGGTGTGTTATGCTGAAGGGCGGTTATACCGGCTATACAGATACAGAAGCTGGTGTGTTATGCCGAAGGGTGGCTATACCAGCTATACAGAATCATATATATATATATATAGAGAGAGAGAGAAGCTGGTGTGTTACGCCGAAGGGCGGTTATACCGGCTATACAGATACGCTGAAGTGTGGTTATACAGGCTATACAGATACAGAAGCTGGTGTGTTACGCTGAAGGGCAGTTATACCCGCTTTACAGATACAGAAGCTGGTGTGTTACACCGAAGGGCGCGGTTATACCAGCTATACAGATACAGAAGCTGGTGTGTTATGCCGAAGGGTGGTTATACCGGCTATACAGATACAGAAGCTGGTGTGTTACGCCGAAGGGTGGTTATACCGGCAATACAGATACAGAAGCTGCTGTGTTACGCCGAAGGGCGGTTATACCGGCTATACAGATACAGATCTAGAAGCTGGTGTGTTACGCTGAAGTGTGGTTGTACAGGCTATATAGATACAGAAGCTGGTGTGTTACGCCGATGGGCGGTTATACAGGCTATACATAATGATACAGAAGCTGGTGTGTTGCACCAAAGTGCAGTTAAACTGGCTAACCAATACAGATCCTGATACAAATACCTTCTATATCCTTTTATTGCATATTGCCTGTCTGCTTTCATGTTAGCACGTACATGGGCATCAAAGAACCATTTTAACTTAAGCCTTAAGGATAATCTGTACTTAAGAATCTTTCAAGTAGCGGCATCTTTATTATCTTTGCAGTTCTTCCAATCGAACGTTATAATGTGTTTTGGATCTTCTTGTTATGGTGTCACTTAACTGCTAAATACACTTTAACAAGGCTTGAAAGTCATGACATGTTTTTTGAACTTTACGATTTTGTTTTATGTTACATTATGTTTGCTCATCAAAGGCCTGTGTCTAAGCCACAAGCCAGCGTAATCATGCGAGAGTGATTAGGGGTTGATTTTTCAATCAGGATGCATCCTTTGAATTTTTGTGTTCTTTTATTCCGTGCGAAATAGACACTTAGAGACCGGATTAGGAAGGATTGTGGGGGTGTGGACCACAGACTGAGTATGACGAAAATGAGTTGGAAAGAAAGTGAGAAGAAAATCACCTTAGATTTTTTGACCTACATTTTGTAAAAAGCACATTCAAATAAAAAGATACAAAATGTTTCATTTCTTATTCATATATCACAAGCTTCCAATGAAACAAGGGCAAACAAAGGTTAGACATCCAGGTAATGAGATATGCAAAAAAAAGGCAGTTACTCAAGCAACTGGATATGATTTTGGAAACAGTCAGATGTTTCAGCTAGTATCCACTGCCTTTCGTCAGACAACGGAGAGATTCAAAATCGTGCGAGAGTGATTAGGAGTTGATTATTCAATCATGATGCCTCCTTTTGACCTTTTGTGTTCTTTTATACCGTGCGAAATAGACACTTAGAGGCTGCATTAGAAAGGATTGTGGGGGTGTGGACCGCATCTGTGAATGACGAAAATGCTTTGGAAAGAAAGTGAGAAGAAAATCGCCTTAGGTTTCTTGACCTACATTTTGTAAAAAGCACAAATAAAAAGATACAAAACGTTTCATATCTTATTCATATAACAAGATTAAAATGAAACAAACACATATTGGTAAAGGTTCAGACATCCATGTAATAAGCAAACTCAGTTACTCAAGCTACTGGATATAATTTTGGAAGCGGTCAGATGTTTCAGGTAGCATCCACTACCTTTCGTCAGTTACACTAGTAACAACGAGATCTTAAAATCAGCACCCGGTAGGATTGCATGAGTCAGCCTCCAACCCTAAAGAGTTTCTCTCTTAGACCCAATTGAAGATCCTTATACAATTCTTTGGTTTTGTCTTGAAAGTTCATCATTAGAGAAGCCTGGAGTTTTACAGTAAAAAATTTGGGTAAGTCAAATTTCTTGTGCTGGAAATTACATGTTACAATTTTGTATGTTTTATGTTCTTGAGCGAAGGATCCTATTTCACTTGCTATCTGATGCTTATAAATCCATGCAAATAAAATAAAATAAAATAAATTACACGTCAGTGAAGGTTAGACATCCAGGTAATAAGATTCCCCTAAAACTTTTAGTAAAAGCAGTAAACTGTTACTTGAGCAACTGGATATCATTTTGTGCTTATAAACCTGTATTTCACCTCTGGTCTGTCAGTCACTGACGAAAGCTAGTGGATACTAGCTGAAACGTCTGACGTTTTCAAAATCATATCCAGTTGCTTGAGTAACTGCTTTTTGGTGTAAAATAAATCACGGTTCAACACTCCCATGGGGGCTCCATTAGGAAGGAAGTAACCATGTTCATTAGTACACTGTCTTGTGCTCTAGTCACTTCGTTTTCCCTGGCTTCATTAATTAAGCTATCATTACTGATAATTATATTAGCCACAAGGGTCAGTTTGTTTCCTCATGGGAGCTTGTGGGAAAATGTCAACAGAATCAGCAACAATGGGTGGAATCAGAAATTCACTAAAACTTGAGTATGAGATCCTTACTCTGGACAAGTAGGGATATATATATTGATTTATGTTTAGACCTTAGAACAAGCAGTATACTTAGTCTAGTAAGTTGATTCATCAATTGTCTTGTATGTATGTCAATTTTGTTGTACCCACGTATCTGTCTGTACATGTCTACAACACATTAGCTGGTGTGATACGCCGAAAGGCGGTTATACCGGCTATATACAGATACAGAAGTTGGTGTGTTACGCCGAAAGGTGGTTATACCAGCTATACAGATACAGAAGCTGGTGTGTTAAGCCGAAGGCCGGTTATACCGGCAATACAGATACAGAAGCTGGTGTGTTACGCCGAAAGGCGGTTATACCGACTGTACAGATACAGATACAGAATCATGATGTACCAGTTTAAGATCTTAAGAAACTTGATGACTTTCAAATCTGTTGTGTCAATTAAGTTCTTGTATTTGTATTTGCTAAACAAATTAAACATACTAGTACCAGAACTGGAAAGAATGACAAAAAAGCATCTGATTCTTTAAAACTTCCAGTGAGTGTTTATTCCTATTTTTCCTGCAGAATACTTGCAGCTCGTATATCTAGTATTTTCCATCCTTCTAGGCAACGCCGTACAACTTGTACGTCTCTGTGCTTGTCTCTGTTTCAGGCTCAGAAAAAAACTGGCCTCCGAAGCACATAACACTTATAATTAGACGACGTACACATGAGGTTGCCTCCGTTACAGTTCTGAAAATAGTCTTTTGTACATAAGAAATGTATTCGACTGAGAAGAGTCTCCTTTGGTCGTGATCGTTTGTAGTCATCCTGCTGTTGATCAGCACATCACGTGTTGTCATCTGGTCGAGTCATCTAAAGAAATAAACAAGATGGCATTATTAGCGATTTTTATTTGCACGTAACAAATAATTCATCTTCATCCATTAATAACAATAACAAAAAAAGTGTATGTATGATACTGCAAGAGAGGTCCAAGGTTTGAAAGTTACTGCTACATGTTATATATATTGGCGAAAATCAATGCGTGTGCAGATGTGATCCATAAACTTATATAAATCATTGGGGCCAAACTCAAACTCAAATATCATATGAAGGTTATTATGAAGCAGTTTAAACTCTAATTTCCAACGCAAAAGATTGGACTTACTCAAATTTTTGACTGTGAAACTCAGCAATGTACATTCCTTGACAAAGACTCGAGTTGTACAGCCAAAAATATGGGTAAGTCCAATCTATTGTGTTGGAAGTTAGATGTTTAAACTGCTTCCATAATGACTTCTACCAACACAGATGAACTTTCAAGATATCATACAGCGTGCAAAATACCTGGTTGCCCAGTTGCCCCGGGCATCCAAATTTTACTTTGGGCAACCTATTTTTGAACCTAGGTAGCCCAGTGTGCTACCTGAATTTTAAAAATGCCCCCTCCCGCCAAAGAAATCATGCGCACTGTATCCGGCAGGTGCGTTTTAATTTTAGGTATTAATGGCTATTACTAGTATCAGTTAACTAAAGGCTGTTAGAAATATTGTCAAAGGCTTATGTATGTTACATTACTTACAGTAATTTTAGGTTCATATATAGGTGGGGCAACCTAAAATTCTGATGAGCAACCTAACTTTTGCCGTAGGTTGCCCACTGAGCAACCTGGCTCAATAAAGTATTTTGTACACTGTCATATGAAGGTGTTACCTGTGCTTTGTCAGAAGCCAAAGTCAGCGCCGGATCTCCTGACCTCCCGGATGCTCCGAGCGACGCGCTCGCCCTTGCCCGTCCCTCCGATCCACAACTTGGTCCACGTGGTCCAGGGCCGCCTCGGTCCCCGGCTCTGGAAACAAGACAGAAACAGCCTCTTATTACTCTGAATTGTGAAGTTCAAAGTGTTTGCGGTGGTTTTGTGATCACAGTTTTTGGAGTGGGAAAAAGAGACCTTTTACACATTCAACCAAGTCTTTTATTCAGCTGACGTTTCGGTGACCGTCTGTCACCTTTCTCAGGGCAATTTTGACTGGTTCACATTGCACTGCGTCTACATTGTATAGCAGCAGTTGGCAGTGTAATTGTTTTTGAAGAGTTTAAGCTTTTGAGATACTTGATATGCCTCTCACTGGTGCCCATTAAAATGTTTTCTCCAAGTCTGAAGGCAGATTTAGCTGCAGAGAGCAGGAAGAGTTCATATCTAGCAGGATGTCTGGTGTCGAAGGCATTTTCAGCACCAAGGACAGGGTATGCTTTTAAAACATTTTTCCCTGAATGCAGATTCTTATGTATGGAGGTCATGTTTTTAAAGTTTTTTGTTTGCATGTTTGCTTGATCGTGTTTCTGTAGTTATATAGGGGATGCTGGCAGGAAGTTAGGCCAAAGGTCCCAGAAAAGGTTATCTCATTTCCTGTCTTCGATTTCCTGCTGAAATTGTTTATCTGTTGCTATTTTTACCAATGGTAAAACGCATATAGACAGATCAAAGTTAGAAATTCTCAAAACACGTTTCAAAGAGGTGTGCAATCTATGCTTTCTTGTTGCAGATGTAAGTAATTTTATGTCAGTTTTGTGTTGCAGAAATGACTTGAACTTGAAGGAAAGCCAAATTGCAGCCTCCTTTGATATGAAGTTGATGAAAGTTTGCCCTCACCACCTTGGAGTTGGAGTTAGTTGGATGCATGAAAATGAAAGCACTATACTGGAAATAGGATATTTACTACATGCATAAAACATGCCTCAAACAATTGCTGCATGCTCTTACCATGCATGCAGTGAATGAAGCAAAAGAAGAAAGTTACTTCAAATTGCTATTTATCATATTGGCCATGTACACTGCTGCTTCAAGCAATGGAATCTGATCTTATGAAGAAAACTGAAGATGGTCCTCTGCTGCTACCACAAGTACATTCATTTGTTATATTCATGATGATTGTGCAATGTGGGTCTACTATGATAGCTCTCTACGATACATGTAGCATACACTCTGCACTGGTGACAGGCCAAGCTGCTACGTACTACTGACCTCGAGGCTTCGCTGTATGAAATGATGCAACTGAAAGCCCATGGAATTTGCTGTATCGGACATGGACGATGCTCTACAGATGCAGCTGAGTCTACTGCATGCGTCTCTACGATGCATGCACTTTGCAGGTGCATACTACAAGCTTTCTCTTGTATGAAATGATGCAATGATGCAACTGAAAGCCTACAAATGTATGAGGTAATTTGCTATGTCAGACATGGAAGATGCTCTACCATTTCTACCATTGCAGCTAGCCACCTCTACTGCATGCCTCTACGATAGCATGCACTTTGCCCCAGCCTCAAGGCATTGCCTCTGCTGCTGTATGAAATGATGCAACTGAAAGTGTGTAATTTGCTATTCGGACATGGAAGATGCTCTATCGATGTTCTATCAAAGCAGCTGCCTCTACTGCATGCCTCTACAATAGCATGCACTCTGTGCTGGCCGTGCGGCTACGTATGCTCCAGCTGAGCGGCTACTTACTGACCTCAAGGCTTCGCTTCTGTCGCCTGGACTGACCCTGGGTCCAGAGTTGAGCTTGTTTGCCCCATGAGCGCGTTTCGACCGCTTCATTCTCGTCTTCGGTTTCTTCTTCGGACGGGTCGTCCTTTTTCATCCCCTTCGTCCACATCTGCGCCTGCTTGTTCCATGCCCGCTGGTCGACCGAGCCAACGGTGTTCGAATCTCGCTTCCCAGTCCCCTCCACCCACAGTTTCCCGTAGTTCTGCCAAGGGTTGTCCTTCTTGCTAACAACATCGTGTTGTTCCCCATCACTGTGCATTGCTATCTCATCTATTTCCTTATCCTCAAACTCTTTGCTTCGATTTTCTTGGCTACTACCGTCTTCCAGACTGTCTCCTTGCACAGATTGGTTTGTGGTAGGTTCAGACTTCTTTCCTTGCTTTGACTTTCCCCCCACCCACATGTGAGCATATCTATTCCAGGGGTTCGCTCTTAGATCAATTTCATGATCCTCTAGTTCGCTAATATCCTCTCTTTTCCCCTGTTTTGACTTCCCATTCACCCACATATGAGCAAACTGATTCCATGGGTTCGATCTTAGATCAATTTCATGGTCATCTAATTCTCCTTCTCCTCTCTTGCCTTGTTTTGATTTCCCACCGACCCACATGTGAGCAAACTGATTCCATGGGTTCGATCTTAGATCAATTTCATGGTCATCTAATTCTCCTTCTCCTCTCTTGCCTTGTTTTGACTTCCCACCGACCCACATGTGAGCAAACTGATTCCACGGGTTCGATCTTAGGTCGATTGCCTGATCGTCTAGATCTTCTTCTCTTTTGCCTTGTTTTGACTTGCCATTCACCCACATATGAGCAAACTGGTTCCATGGATTTGCTCTTAGGTCAATTGTGTGATCCTCTAAATCTGTGTCCCCCCTCTTGCCAGGCTTCGATGCACCCCCCACCCACATGTGTGCGAACCGATTCCACGGATTTTGACCTCTCTTGCCCTGGGACTGACCTTCGACCCACAGATGGGCGAACTTGCCCCATGGGCTACGTTTGCCCTTCCCGGACACCCAAGACTGGGAATAGGTGTTCCACGGGTTCGACCTAGCCTGGAGTTCCATGTCGTCGTCATCGTCAAAGTTTCGTGAAGGCCGTGATACACCCGAAACCCACATGTTTGCGTAGCTATTCCAGGGATTCCCTCCCCCCCTTTTCTCAGCAAGCGGGTCAGTTGGAGAATCGACATCGGCGTCAACTGACCGCTTTCCTGTGCCCTTCACCCAAAGGTTTGCAAACTTATTCCAGGGATTCCCACCCCCTCGTTTATCAAAATTTGTCTGGTCCGCCGGACTGAGCTCAGAATAAGCTGGTTCTACCTCTTCGTCGGCGCCCCTCTTGCCTTGACCTTTGACCCACAAGTTGGCATACTTGTTCCACGGGTTTGACCTTATCTCGACGTCAAGGTCGTCGAGGAGGCTTGTTGTCGCGTCTTCGTTGTCCGAGCTTCGCTTGTCGGGTCTCGACGCGCCGTGCACCCACAGCTTCCCATACTTCTGCCATGGATTCACTCTGGTCTGGATTTCGTGGACGGATGCGTCCGGGCCTGAGCTTGCGTCTTCGTCGTTCCGCGGTTGCCCCTGGTTACGGGTAGCCCTGCTGCGGCCCTGTACCCAAAGGCGTGAGTATGTTTGCCAGGGACTGGAAACTCTTCCCTTGTCCAACAAATAAAACCATATCAAGAGCATGCTATGAATTATACGTAAAGCAAAGAAAGTGAGAAATTATCATATTAACAAAATGATCCAGGTTGTTCACAAGTTAACAGTTTGCCAGGGACTGGAAACTCTTCCCTTGTCCAACAAACACATTGCGGAATGAAATTAGATCTTAATATCAAGTCAGCATGTTATGAATTGTACATAAAGCAAAGAAAGTAGAGAAATGATCCAAAAGGATCCAGGTTATTCACAAGTTAACAAAGCCTCAAAGAAAGTTAATCAAGAAACCAAGGATATAACCTCCTTGAAGAAATTTAACATTCAAACATATTAAGCTTCTATAAATGATCTGGTAGTATCAAAGGTACAATACAATCATATACATGTCGTAAAGCAAAGAAGGGGAGAAAGGATATCAAAAGGATCCAGGTTCTTCACAAGTTAATAAAGGCTAAAAGAAAGTTAATTAACAGAAGCTTGAAGTTCTATTAATGATCTCTGGTAATGTCAAAGGATATTAACTTAAAGGTACAATACGACATGTAAAAGTCGATGATCTAGATTCTATAGAACCCAGGTAGGCTCAATGTAGCACAAGAAAATGTGTAAAACAACAATGTTTAAAATAGTGACAAATCTTACATAGTCCCGGTATCGCTTTAAAAGTAACCTTCCCCGAAGTAAACATTGACACAGTGGCACGGTTCATTAAGAAGTATTAACAGGGCTCGAAATTCAGTTCTGGGAATAGGTGCACTGGTGCACCTATGCTCAAAAATTGGGTGCACAAAAAATTCTTTGGCTGTGCCATATAAATCAAAACCTAATACAGATCTTGTGTAAAAAAAATGCCAGCAGGACAAGGGTTAAAAGTGACCTACCCCGAATCCCCGGGTGACTCGTACAGGCAGGACGTTGTTGTAGTGGCTGATTGGTCCCCATAGCAGCTGGTTTATGATCTCCCTGCTGGCCTGGTGTTGCAGATCTGGTCCCAGAAGCCAGTGGGTCTGCTGTTGGGAAATAACCATTGACACAGAGGCACAGTCAATTAAGGAGTACTTTCATTTCATTACCTCTGCCAAGAAGGATATGTTTTTGTTGGCATTCGTGTGTGTGTGTGCGTGTGTGTCTGTGCGTGTGTGTGTGTCTGTGTGTTTGTGTGTTTGTCTGTGCGTGTGTGTGTGTCTGTGCGTGTGTGTGCATGTATGTGTGTGTGTGTGTGTGTCTGTGTGTGTGTGTGTGTGTTTGTGTATGTGTGTGTGTGTCTGTGCGTGCCTGTGTGTGTGTGTGTGTGTGTGTGTGTGCGCGTGTGTGTGTGTGTGTGTGTGTGTCTGTGTGTGC